GTCTTCCAAAAATGTGTGTAAACTTGGATAGGCCATAATTCCCAGTTTTGTGTGGTTGTCCACCATTTTGTCATCTGACATGATTATCCTATGTGTTGTAAATCCTAACCTCTATAATGTTAATGAGGCAGGATTAGAGTCAGTTATGTTAATGAGGCAAGACTCAATCTACAGGATTAGGTTGTAACTTGCGTCAATCACTTTTGAGATATAAAAGAGAGAAGCCAGCAGAGAGGAGTGGGACCTCAAACCACCAAGAAAGAAGCACCAGGAATGGAGTGAGTCCTTTGGACCTGGGGTCCCTGCGCTGAGAAGCTCCTAGACCAGAGGAAGATTGATGACAAGGACCTTCCTCCAGAACTGACAGAGAGAGAAAGACTTCCTCTAGGGCTGGCACCCTGAATTCAGACTTCCAGCCTCCTAGACTTTGAGAGAATAAATTTGTTTGTTAAAGCCATCCACTTGTGGTATTTCTGTATAGAAGTACCAGATAACAAAGACAAAGAGTGTCTCTTGGCAGAGTATCTGGAATGATTTTGCTTTCTGATGAGAGAGAGAGAGCGACAGACAGAGAAAGAGAAGGACAGAGACAGGGAGTAAGAGGGGCTGAGAAGAAGAGAAAAGCAGGAAAAGAAAACTCTTTTTCTGCTGACTCTTTTCTTCCAAATTGGATATTGTTGGGAAGAAATAATCTTTGGCACCTCAAAAGCCAAACTGTGACCAAAGAGGGAAATAGTACTGATAAACCAAGGAAGAAGAGTAAAAAGAATGTATGAAACTCTGATGGCATTGATGAGCTGCTGGATCAATCTTAGTATAAACCTTTTTCAGAATTTGTGCTAAGTAAGATAATAAATAGCTGATTTTTTGAAGTCTTTGTACTTAGGTATTCTGCTACTTGCATCTAATGTGTTCTTATCATCTTACTGCTCATTTCTTTCTCCTGTTCTTTTCCTCTATTTTCTTATATCATCTTCATCTAGAACCTGTGCTATTTCCTTTCTTAGTTCTTCCTAGACTGACAATTCCAGGAGAATTATTTTGGAGACAGGCCAGGACAAGTCCTTGGGCTGAAATTGAGCAAAGTCATCATCCATTGTTCTTCATGATGTAAGACTTTGGGGTGTGTGTATGTGTGTGTGTGTGTGTGTAAGTGTAACATTTAGTCTCTGTAGGGACTTAGCCAATGTTTACTATACATCAGGCACTGTGCTAACCACTTAAAATGTATTAATTTATTTAATCCCCACAACAAACTTATAAGGTATTGTTATTATTGATCCCACTTAAGGACAAGAAAAGAAAACACAAGGAATTTAAGTAACTCGGCCAAGGTCACATGTCTGGTAAACAATAGAACCAGGGTCCAAATCTTGACTGTGAGGTCCTCGCAAGGAAAGTGATACATACAGACCAAATTCTTAGTATATTAATATCTAAAGGACAGGGTGAGTAATGTAGCTTCCTGGTGGCTACAACAGAAGTACATTTTCTATGCAAGAAGTTGTATTTACTGCAAATCTCTCCCATCAGGGATGCATTTGTTCCCATCCCTACTGACTGAAAGACTATATCTGACTTAGCTGGCAAAAGGATCCTGGAAATTTTTCTAACTTGCTGTGACAACTTTGATGTCAAAACCAAAACAGGTATGCAAACAACTTATTACTTCAGGAAAAGTAATTCAGAAGAGAACACTGTGAGCTCACCTCTGCTGACACTGCTCTGCCCTGAGTATGTACTCCTGCAGGTCTTCTCCACATGAAGAAAAACCTTCAGAGAGAAGACAGATGGGCGTTGTTTACCATCTACTGCGTGAAATATCTGTCCCCCGATTTTGTTGCTAGAGCTGTTGTAAAGAACAGGTTCTACAGAGGGCAGGACAAGTTCTCATTTGTTGCATGACTCATAGTAGTTCCTTTCTGGTAAACGGTGAAATGTTTTCCCACAGTAGAGGGGGTTTTTCTGTGCAAAGAACTGAGAATTGGAAATCACTAGCCTGCATTCTTTACAGAAGTAACATTCTTAGTCATTGAATTTATCCTAAAAAGCTTGTGTATGCTTGTGTACGGTATTTGTACATGTATTTTTCTGTCTTTGCTACCACATTTAAATAGATGATATTAACAAAATTTAGAGGACGTGTTTGGAATATGCATATATATGTATGTAGGAATATAAATAAAATGCATAGTATACAAAATTCATTTTGGAGATGGAGGTATCTGGAAGCAATGATCAATCATACTCTCAGCTCAGTCAGATGTAACTGAGTTACAATCAGAGGTAGACATCAATAATATTAAGAGAATCATTACGTAAGTATTATAATTCTATAGAAAAAGAAAATAAGCCATAATTCCAAACTTGAGTCCCAGGTAGAAAATTATAGAAGCAGATACTATAAATTTTAGGGTCACATTGGCAATCTAGAGGATTCTTGTGTGGACAAGTCAATGCAGTGACCTCAAAGGTAGGTATATATTAATTTACCAGAAGAGTATACATTAAAATATTTAATAATTTTGAAAGTCTCCACCAAATCAGATAGACCAGATTGTGTGTGTATGTACATATAGATTCAATTCACCTTATAAAAGACACATATTCTACAAGATCCTCTTCCTACTCAACAAAATTAAATATGTGTAGAAATTAACTTGTGTTTTCTGAAATTTCTCATATTAACTTTCCTACTATTGATGTTAGATTTGGACTTCCAGACTGCAGTGTGTTATTAAATTCTTAGAAAGTATTTGATTTATATTCTCCATTTTAATTAAGAAAAATGTTCTAAATTTAAGCATATGCCTAACTGCTTTCTCCAAATATTTAGTGGTCATTTTAGATTCACACCTTGGAGTGAGTGTTATGGCAAAAGGCAAAGAAACTCCAAGGAGTCAGTAATGAGCAAACACAAACAGAGGTAAGCTTTGTTGTTACTTTTTATAAGAGATGGAAAGCATCACCATCTTTCTCACTGGTGACATAAAGAAGTAGTAGATTAAACACATAAAGTCAACAGTGTTAGTCAGGTTAGTTGTTCCAGTTTTCTTTCAACTTGACCAGAACCTTGGAGGTAAAGAAGTACACAATACCAAGCTGTCTTCTTAGAAAGGGGCAGGTGTAAACGCAATAAGAAAAATATTAAAACTAAGGTTTCATTAAGTTGACCACCCCTGGATACCAGATGATGATTGGCTTTAATCCTTTTTAATTCTTTGGAATATGCAACCCTGGGAACTCAGCAGAAGATATTAACAGTCAGAAAGATGCCTCTACTTCTTTCTACATCAAAAAACCAGTTTCTTATCCTTGGACAGAAACATAACACCCCAATAAATGGATTTTTTGCTTTAAAATTTGTGGACCAAGAGTGCTTACTTCAAATGCATCATGAGGTGAGTTCAGAAAATGGGAAGAAGCCCCTTTTCTTGATGGGAGAGTAAAATTCTCCTAGTCATCTCCCTAAGAATATAGTTAGTTGCCCATAGAGGCAAGAACCTATGGAAAGTCTGAGGTTAATTAAAAGTCTTAAGTAATTTAAGAGTGTTTGCATTTATTAAATATTTGAAGTGACAGTGACATTAACTAAGGGTCTACAATATTCCAGCCACTGGAAAGCCAAACATGACTCAAACACCTAGTCTGTGCCTTCAAAATTCTCATAATCAAGTAGTAGACACAACATGAAAACAGTTACAGTATAACATGATATTCTGTAATAGAGATATGTCCCTAAGTTATGGGAGCTTAAAGCAGCAACAATCGATTTCATCCGGGGATTTATGAAATTTTGAGCTGAATCACGAAGAAAGAGGAGGAGATATACCCCTGGCAGAAAGTAAGTCATGAAGAGAGGCATTCTAGCCAGAGGATTTAACACACAGAGATACATGGAGAGATGAAAGAGTGAGACACATGTAGGAAACTGCTAGCATTTTCATTACAGAAAGTACAGTGTCTGTGGAGAAATGTGAGCGCTAAAATTGGAAAGGTAGGTAAGAGTTTTGTTAGGAAGAAACTTGCTGAAGAATGAGACATTTTTCCAGTAGGTAATTGTGGATGACTAAAGAGTTTTCAGGAGCCCTGGTGGCACAGTGGTTAAGAGTTTGGCTCCTAACCAAAAGGCAACAGTTCAAATCCACCAGCCACTCCTTGGAAACCCTATGGGGCAGTTCTACTCTGTCCTATGGGTTGCTACGAGTTGGAATCGACAGCAGTGGGCTTGGGTTTATTTTTTTATTTAAAGAGTTTTAAGGAAGACGTGATATAATTAGTTCACGTTTTAGGGAAAAAAGAGTTGGGCTATTGGCAGTGTAAAAATGGATTCCCCGCTCTTTTCAAGAAAAAGGGCAATATTACAGGCAGTGGCCAGTAGGAGACTGACTACTTTGTGATGTATGATGAAATTACAACAATCATGAGGTTGTCTTCTGAGAGCTTTTTATTTAGCCAAAACCGTAGAGGTAAAAAAACTATAAAAGACTATATTCTTGGAAAAGGATAATGCACTGCAGAAAAAAAAAAAAATGCTTCAGTGAACTTCCTGGCCAGCATACATTTATTTCATGGACCACTAGGTCTTGATCAAGCTAACCTAAATCCACTCAGATTCATCTCCATAAGTTTCCTTAACTGTGACTATTAGGAAGGTTTTTTTCTCTCCCAGAAGTCATCTTAAGCTTCTAAGGCAAACTGCTCCACCACTTTCCTGAGCTCTTATAAAGGAATACCAAAAAAAACAAACCCACTGCCATCGAGTCAATTCTGACTTACAGTGACCCTATAGAGCAGGGTAGAACTGCCCCATAGAGTTTCCAAGGAGCAGCTGGTGGATTTAAACAGCCCACCATTTTGGTTACAAGCTGAGCTCTTAACCACTGCACCACCAGGACTCCCTACAAAAGGGTACAATCTTTGCAAAGTAATGGGGGAGGGAGGCAGCACAGGAGGTAATAAAAAGTGACTAAAGAATGTTTGTTACATTTTTTTCTCAGGAGCACTGGGTGCTAGCCTTGCCCTAGGTTTACACAGGCAACCTTCTGTCTCCATTTCAAGGTAAATACCTAAGAATATCTTGAAAATGGCAGCTTCTCTTGCTAAATAAATTAATTAATATGGGTCACTTTACAATGTACCTTGCTCCAGATTGTAAACCATTTGGAGCAATAAATGGTAAATACCGTTAGTTATTATCTTTATTTTTCTTATCTTTAGTATAATGTTAAATATTTGAAAGCTGGGGTTATTTGCACTTGATTTAGGATATTCTTAGGCGCATATTTGGCATGCAATTATGTCTTGTACGGAAAATACAACATCAATCACTAACGAGAAAAGTACAATGATAATATTTGAATTTTTAAAAATCAGTCTGAGCTTCCTTAGGTCTTTGTCTATCAGTCTTTTTAAATTGCTTCCAACATAATAACTATGGAACTACTGCCAACCAGGAACGGGTATTGAGCTTTCAACAGAGTTACCTCTTAGCCAGGACACAGTAGTGTAGCAAGATACAAATTCAATTGTAGCAACTGAAATTATCTACGTGAGGTTTAATTTGTCTTTGGAAAGATACACTGGCGAGTGTGTTAAGTCTGGTAAATGCTGATGAAAGATTTTTCACAAATGAGATGGTGATATCCAAATGATACACCTAATGACAAGTAACATACGTGGGTGCTGGTACTGGGAGGTGACTGCAATCCAAAGAATATATCCAGTTAAGTTACATTTGCTACACTTTAATAATGACTCAGGAAATTCCAGCAAAACTCCTGTGTGTGTATATATAGCTTCAGAGCTGGCATTTCTGGCCAGTGAGAATGTTTCTGCTCCCAGCACACTGACCTGTACCTGGACGGAGGGGAGCTGTGTGTTGGCTGCTTCTACATCTGTTTGGATCACGATGTGGACAAGAATACTTCTGGGTGTTTTTCTCTTTCATCTGTCTCTTTCTCAATCTACCAATGTGTAAGTGATTACATAGGGTTTTACTGGTAGAAGAGAAATAGAGCTTGGTGGGAAGAAATCTAATTTTCATCACCTATTTTATAGCAGTAATTTGATTTTAGATAATATTACCATTTCACAATACACTCCAAAATTTTTAATTTGTGCAGTGAATTTCAAATTTGAATGTCACCCTTCATCTCTGCCCAGTAGATATCCAGAATGCTGAGTAAGAGTTATAAAAGTGTTGTACTTATGTTGAGACGAGGCATCAGATTGCCAGTGGGGAAGGAAGCTGGAAAAAATGGCAGGCAAATATAAAATGTAGTGTGCAGCATCAATTCAGGGGCAAAAGCATTGTGTGAGGAGACTGATAATGCTAATCATTACAGAACTAATAAATTAATTACCGCTTTGTAATTGAGATTTTCCTCATTATGCCTACAAAATTCAGTTTAGAGGGCAGCCTCCTTCTGTTTCATACATTTCATGCCCTCAGATTTAGACTTTAGATATATTTTTAAATACATTTTTCTTAAACTCCAGGGTCCTTCCTGTAACAAAATAATTACTAAGTAACTAAACATTGCTTTGACACTTTCATTTTTAATGCTCTCGCTTAATTTTTACAGGCAATATGTTCTGATGGTCCCTGTTGTTCTACAAGAAGTCTCTTTGGAAACAATTTGTGTCCAGCTTTTTAATCTTACTGAAACTGTTACTTTGACTGTCTCCATCGACTATGATGTGGTCCAGAAGACAGTAGTTAAAGAGAAAGTTACAAGAGAGAATTTCTTCAAATGCATCAACTTCGAGGTGAAGTACTTCATCCTGCTTTACTTGGAAGAGAATATCGCAGGTCCTTGACTTTCTAGGGACAGAGATCAGACTATTTTACAGTGTGTGTAAACTTCTTTTTATTTTTAAAAGGCTAATGCATAAATATTAAAAACATTTTCAACTTAAATGAAGAAATAAATTTATAAACAGACTTCTTATATGAGGATAGTTTTACTAGTATGCTTTTATTAAACTTTAAGTGTATGTGTGTTTGGAGTATTTTCAAGATGTATCTCAAAAGTAAAATATATAGCCATATACTATTTTGCATGTAAATAAATAAACCCAAATATGCTGGCCAGTAACTAAACAGGTCACAACAGGATGAGCCAAACCATTTGATTTTATGACAGCAATTTGTTGATGGGAACAAGGTATATAAAAAAGAAGACAGCTGTTCAGAGAAGGAAAGGTTTAAAAAATGTGAAAGAAAATTAATTTAAAAAGGTAATAGGTGATTTTAAAAAAGTGACAAAGCAAGGGAAAGAAACGAGGTTGGTTATTCAAGAAATAAACATGACAAGTTATAGACTGAAACATTTAGTAATGCCAGCATACAGTTAGTGGTAAGGATTTCTTGACAAAACACCAGTCTCTTTAAGTATTTTATTTGCTCCCTAGGTTCCTAAGGCCGGACCTGACCCACTGGCTTTCATCACATTTTCTGCTCAAGGAGCCACTCTCAACCTGCAAGAGAGAAGATCTGTGGCAATCCAGACCAATAGAGATATGGTCTTTGTGCAGACAGATAAACCAATTTACAAACCTGGACAGAGAGGTAAGCATATCTAAACTACATTATCCTCAGTTAACACCATTTATAGAACACTTAAACTGATAGTATACAATAGAAGCTCAGCAAATTTAAAATAGAAAATAAAAATACAGAGTATATAGTTTCAAGGCCAGAGATTTAGTTTCAGTATGTCTGAGGACTGGGGAGCTTTGGAAACTGTGTTTTTAAAGACCTCTCCCCTAAGTGGTTTTAATAATATTCAGGTTTGGGAATCACTAAGTGGTATCTGATGCAAATTTATGAGTTTATAGTTGAATTTTAGGTAAGACGGTGACAAAGTGTGTCAAGGATGTTAAGAGATATTCCTGGTGACTAGAGAATGTCCTGTAATAATAGAATGATGAGCATGACATTGAATTACCTAAGCTGAAAAGCCTCATCTCACTACTGGGTTGGGAAGGAATTAATGAACGTAAGTTACTACGGTCAAAAGGAAGACATTTCTGATTAAATGAATGGCACGTGAGAAAGCACAGGAGTAGAATTAATTCATAAGCTATGCTGTAAAATGGGAAGTGGATATTTGAAGTAAAAAAAAAATGGAAACGAGGAAAGCAAGCTGAAATGAATAGAACAGTTAAAGGAGGGCACTGGATATGGGGCTGAAGAGCCTTTTTCATGAAATTAAGTCACTGTAGATTTGGGGGAGTATACTGTGATGAAAACAGTCTGCGAAAGATTATTGGGCCCAATCTATATATGTTGTTGAAGGGAATTTCTGAACTCATTGCCATAGTGGTTCTTTGCAGTACTTTTGATGAATAGTGTAAAATGCTTGTACAATGATAGTGTGCATGAAAATTGAGAAGAAATTTTAGAGGAAAAAAAAAATCTAACCAAGTGTCTTTCTATACTCCTACCATTCAAATAGGCTTCTTTTGAAAAGAAACTAACAAAAGTAAAAGTATTACGGCTAATTTTTTCATTCAACTTGCAATTACATTCAAAGATTCCTAGCAACAGATGCAATATAAACAATGGTAAACTGGCCAGCATATTTGGGTTTATTTATTTACATGCAAAATAGTATATGGCTATATATTTTACTTTTGAGATACATCTTGAAAATACTCCCAAACACTCATACACTTCAAGTTTAATGAAAGCATACTAGTAAAACTATCCTCATATAAGTAAGTCCGTTTATAAATTTATTTCTTCATTTAAGCGGAAAATGCTTTTAATATTTATACTATATCTTCTTCAGAGCATTTTAGCTGCTTGAGCAAATATTGAGAAAAATAGTAGCATATCGATCAGTGTCGCCTGGGACATACTTGTTCTTCCCCAAATATTTTTCTAGAATTACTAGCTATAAATCTGAAGCATGAATGAGAATATATTTTTAAAAGTGTTGGAGCCTCTTTAAAAAAATACTTATTTTTTTAACAACTATTTCTGTACAATTGTTTGCACCTAATATCACAAGGACTTGAGAAGCTACAAACAGTGGTCCTCAAACCTCAGTGAGCAAAAATAATTACTTAGAAAGCTTGTTAAAATTTCAAATTACTCTCAGGATGAGTACCAAGAATCTATATTTAAATAAATAACTTTTGCAGGCAGTTCTGATGCTGATGTTCAGCAGACAAACTTTGAGAAACCCTGATAAGAAAAGAAAAAAAAAAAACATGAGTTTTTGTACTCTGACTTACTGGCTAGCACTTGACAAGTGAAGCAGGCGTGGGTGAGTTGGGGATTATTGTAACTAGAGCCGCTTGGGCACAAACATGCTGTGATTTCAGAACGACACAAACTGAGAGATGACAAAGATGTGCTGTAGTTGGAGAAAATGTACTATATGTATATTTCTTTCCTCCTCCCTTTTAATCCTGTCCCTTGACCTCTGTCTTACTCCATTACTTCATGGCGTTCAGATCAGTAGTGAGGTACCAGAGGGCAAGTGAATGACTAGACAAGAAAACCAAGGCATGGCTCAGTTCTAAATTTGGGGCCTGCATCAACAACTGTTGAGCAACAATTATGACTTTATATGTGTTTGGTGAGGAGATGCTCAGGAAGAGGAGGATTATATGTGGTTGACACAGAAGAATACCTAATTTCACCCAACCAATCTACACCAAATGCCAAGTCTTAAATGGTAAAACAAATTCCAGACATATCTAATAGGCTAAGCTTTCTTTCTTGATAAGGAATATTCCAAGAAATAGAGCTGAGGATAAAAATGGAAGATTCCTAGGATTCTTGCTCAGAAGACCTTGGGAAGGCAGGGCTTAGTATGGATGATACTATTTCAAACAGCACAGAAAAGTGTAGACAATTATAATGAGTTTCTTTATTTCTCATCCCATCTACTTTCCTGTAAAGGGTCTAATGTGCAGAGAAGTGGCTATAATGTAGAATGGAAGATGCATACTCAGTCTTACACAACTGATGGATATTCAGTTTTCAAAAAATTGATCTTTGGTGTCTGAGATATAATGCTGCAAATATTCGTGGCTTACTCAGGTTCATGCTCCTTGTTTTTAAAGTATATTTAGTTATTAACTATGACTTTATGCTAAAACCTCAAAGCACATTTAGACTGCAGTAGCTTCATATGTGACCACCATTTGCATTTTGAAATCTCTCCCCCTCTTCCTGAGAAATTACAAGAGAAACTCAATTGAAGCTAAAAAGTCTACAGGAAGGTATTGATGGCTAAGTTATTGCAAATTTAGACACTTAATACTCTTAAAAGAAGACTCATAAACTATCTAGATATATTTTTTTAACTTTGTGTATTCAAGATTCATATTTGGCTTTTATCATACATAGAAGAGAAGTATCCTACATTTGCAATTAATGATTCTTTGAAGGCCAAGTTTCACTAGAGCTATCTGCAAGGCTAAAAACTGGATACTTGTTTGGCTGGCTTTTCTTGAGTGTTGTCATCAGTTCTGTCCAAACTAGTCCAAGATCAAAGAAAAAGAAAACAATGAAATTTAACTCAGAGATCAGAAACAAGGATAGGATGACCAAATTATTCCCCTGCTATTTTACAAGCAATGACCACAGGGCAGGACTTAATACATTTGAAGTAGTATTTACCTAGTATAATTTCAGACTGCAAAGAAGTCCCTCCCGTAAAATAATCACCATCATCTACTTCTTGGTTCCTGAAATTCTCTCGTAAGAGTTTCATTGCATTTGTTTAAAGCATTTATTCCGCTTAAAACACAAGATTTATGACAATGAGATACTTTATTTATTCAAACTTTAAACTCAAAATTTAGTTTCTACCTTGAAAATGCATATTCACAGGTAAAATCTATAATGACTCTATAAAGAAAAAAAAAATTCGCCAAAAATGTGAAAGTTGTATTAAACTCCTAACACAACCTCTTAACTGTCACATAATTGGGAAGGAGAGGTTATTTGAATTTACCTATTAACCCAGAGAAAACAATAGCATTCTTACTTCCTACAAAATAATATTATGTCTATATTATTTATACTATTTACAATAAAATTTAAATATCACTCATACTATTTCACATTACAAAAGTATTTCTTCCCAGTGTCATAAAAATCTGCCCTTCAGATCAACAGTGGATGATGTGGTAGTAAAATACCTGGTAGAATCTCCAGGTTTAATGTGGTTGAAATAATCAATCAACCAACTTTTACTGAACACTTGTTGTGTTCTGGGTAATCTGATATATTCAATCAATACAAAATGAATAAGCAATAGGAAGTGTATAAGCAGGAAACTGATTGAGGAGATTGACATAAAAAAATATGTATAATGCAATGTGTCAACTGCATCTAGTGACCTGGACAAACAACCGTGGAAAGACAGAAAAGGAAGTGACGAATTCTTCAGGTGGTAGAAGAAATATATCACTGGGGATATATAGGAAGTCATTTGGAGTAAAGAGGGATAAGGTAACTGACTAATACACACAGCCTTTAGCAAAGAAGGTTCCAGTTGTGTGAAAGAATTAAAGAAGGCATTAAAGGAAGTAAAGAAGATATTTAAGCAGAGACCTGATTGAAATGAGGGTGGGAATCATGGGTGGGGAAATCATTTTGGGCAAGAAAAATATCAGGTACAAATGCCCTAAGACAGGGCTTGACAAATTCAAGGAAATGCAAGATTGAGAGTATTGCTTGAGTAATGAGGGAGAGAGAAGTAGGAGATAGGTGAGCGAGGTTGAGTGTGTACATGTGGATGTAGCAGATTATGTAAGGCTTAATGGGCTATGGTAACATTCTTCAGATTTGACTCTGAATAAAATGGAGAGCTAGTGAAGATTTTGAGCAGAAGAGGTACATACAACCGGGGAGCTGGGAACAATTTGGAAGGTAGGAAAACCAACTAGAAGGCCTTTGCAATAATATAGGCAAGAGACAGTGGTAGTTTAGAACAGATAATGCAGTGAGAAGTGGTTGCATTCTGGATATATTCTGCAGGTATGTTTTGAAGTAGGATGTAAGATAAAGAGAGAAAATTAGAATGACTCCAAGGTTTGTGACCTGAACAACTGCAATGGCATAAATTGCCACTACTAAATGGGGAAGCGTAGAGCAAGAGCAGGTTTGAGGGAGGAAATCAAGAGTTCATTTTTAGGCATACTAAGTTTGAGATGTCTTTTAAACATCTAGGCAAATATGTCAAGTAGGAAGTAGGATTCATGAGTCCTAAAGTAAGATGAAAAGCCTAGAGACATGAATTTGGGGAGTAATTGCCCTAAAGGTGAAGTGAGTAAATCTCACCTTCATAGCCAGCTGTGTGGTAAAGATTAGCATGAATCCAATCCCCAAAGTGTGGAGATTGATCTAGCCCTCACCTTCCCACTTCTTCATCTTCATCACCATCCACCCAAGTGGCATTCTTTCTCCAACCCTAGCCACCCAGAGCTCAGTCAGAGCTCACAAGTTAAAAAGACACAGTCCTGTTAACTGCCAAATAGGCAGACACCAGCCCCTGCTAGCTCTCACTGCCTCCTTGGGTTTGATTAATTCCCCGGAACAACTCAGAGAACTTCATGGAGAGTATATCGTACCTACAAATATGGATTTATTATAACCAAAAAGGTTACAAATGAAAAGATGCATAGGGTAAGGTCTGGGACGGGTCCTAGTGTGAAGCTGCTATGTCACCAAAGATGTGCAACCCTCACAAGAGCAAATACTCTAACAACCAGGAAGCTCGTAGAAATTCCATTTTCAGGGCCTTTATTTGGCCTCATTGTATAGTCATAACTGGGGCCTCATTGAATATGCATGATTGATTAAATCATGCCTCTCATCCTTTCCTGAGGTTAGCTGACCAGCTGGTCTTTGTGGCCTGGCCAGCACCTACTCATTTTCTCAAATCCTCAAGTGTTGCCTGGAGGTTTTAGATAATAAAATCACAGTAGTTACTTGGAAAATTCCAAGGGTCGTCTCTCAGGAATCAAGGACAAAGGCCACATTGAGTTCTTTTCTCACAGTCATCAACATAGAGATGGTAATTAAAACCATGCAATTTGTTGAGATCCCATTTCTTAGCCAGACAATGACAGTTCCATAATAACCTAAGACCATGTCTTTCCTTTATTTTCAGCATTTTATATCCACACTTGTACACACACACACAAATATATGTGTGTGTGTGTATATATAGATACATATATATATCTATATATAGTGAAACCTGTGAGAGCCAGAACGGGACAGGACTGCCTTGTTTTTCCAGGTCTTGCAAGTTTTCTGTCTTTGACAGGGTGCAGTCTTACCACTTTTCTATCACTTCTTTTAGTGGAAAATATTTGAGTTTTCCTTCTCTGACAGGTTTCCACCTTATACAGGTTCTGGATTTCTCAGGTTTTACTGCATATATATTTATCAATAAAGATTTTTTAAATAAATGTACTATTAAATTAAGTAAACCAAAAGAGGATTGATAGCCTGGTAGAATTTGGTTAAAGAAATTGAACTTTAAATGAGTCTGAAAATGTGTTTAAAGGGCCTCTAAGAATATAGCAACAGATGACAAACAAGAGTCGTATCATCGAGTGATTTTTTTTCCAAAATGCAATAGCTCTGGCGTGATAACAGACATAGATTTTGACATGGATCCTCATTTTTCCTCAAAAAGAAAACGAAAGAATTCTATTACACGGAACATGCATATGTCAAAATTACCCGTGAAAGCTTAGTTGGTGGAAAGGAAGACCATTAGCCAGGTGAAATTCTATACATAATGCAAGTAGGTCAACAACCAAAAATTTACTAGATGGAATCAACAAGAATAAAAAGAGGTTTTAAAACTAATGGCTCTAAAATAATAATTTCTCTCTTGTGAATTAAAGTACAAGGAAAAAGATATTTAGCTAGAGCTGTGAGTTTACAATGAAGTTGCTTAGTCCTCTTTTAGAGCCACGTGGAAGGTGAGAGCTATCAATTGTAGAGATCCAGAGGGAAAGAAGTCACCTCAGAGTAGAAAAGAGAGTGTTTTGTGAGAAAAATAGGAGCATAGGGAAATATCTTCAAAAAACAATAAATTTTATTGATGGCACAATGGCAAGGGTTTAGTAAGGGGGATCAGGCTGATAACTCAACTGGGAATAGGACATAGATGGAAGGGGAGTAAGTGTGAGAGAAAATAGATGACCTTGAAGGCTTACACTATAGATTAAGGGAATAAGGGGAGTAGGTTGATGAGAGATAGACAAAAAATGCATATATTAAATTAAGTATGCACAAAATTTTTATGATTAAATGTACTAAGAATTAAATTATCTTACCTGCCTCCTCTATCTTTTGCTTCTTTAATTAAGTAATTATTTGGCTTAAGCACATTTTATGATGACGCATAAGAGGAGAAGGAGAAAGAGGAGCTGGACATATAAGAAAGACGGGAGGGTTTTTACTGAACTCTTTCTTGTTGGCAGTATAATTTACCTAGTTCAGCATGCTGACCCCAGTATCTGGTATATATTACATAAAATACCCATGGAACCAAATGCTGGCAAAAATGTGGAGCATCAGGAACTCTGCTGGTGAGAATGCAAAGTTGGTACACTCACTTTGGAAGACATTCTGGCAGTTTCTCACAAAGCTAAACATACTGTTACCCGTCGCTTTTGAGTTGATTCTGACTCATAGGCTTACCATATTATAGCAACTGTGCTCCCAAGTATTTACCCAAATGAGATGAAAACATATGTCTACATAAAAGCCTGCACATGAATGTTTTTAGCAGCTTTATTCATAATTGACAAAAACTGGAAACAACCAAGATGTCCTCAATAAGTGAATGGATAAGCAAACTGTGATACATTCATCTAGCAAATAGACTGATAAAAAGAGAAGGGATACCAAGCTAAGAAAAGGCGTGGAGGACCCTTAAATGCGTATTACTGAGTGAAAGAAGCCAGCCTGAAAAAGCTACATATTATATGATTCCCAACTGTATGATATTCTGTAAAAGGCAAAACTATACAGACAGTGAAAATATCAGCAGTTTCTAGGTGTGCAGGAGGAGGGAAGGAGGGATGAATAGATGGAGTACAGGGGATTTTTAGGACAGTGAAACTATTCTGTATGATACTGTAATGGTGGACATATGACATTATGCATTTGTCAAAACCCATGTGACTGTACAACACAAAGAGCGAACCCTAATGTGAACTATGAAGTTTAGTTAATACTAATGAATCGATATTGGTTCATCAGTTATAACAAATGACCACAGGAAAATAAGATGCCAATAATAGGAGGAAACAGTGCATGGTGGGAGGGAGGTATATGGGACCTCTCTGTACTTCCCGCACAATTTCTGTAAACATAAAACTTCTCTAAAAGATAAAGTCTATTAAAATATATTCATGTAAGGACTCATCACAGATAGCAATATTCCAACCCTTTCTGATTTATCTAAGTTAATTGATTTAGTATCAAGACTGTGATGACACAACAAATGAACACCTTATTTACATCGGTTTTATTTCCTTCTCCAGTGAGGTTTCGAATTGTGTCTCTGAATAATTATTTGAAGCCTGTTAATCAAAAGGTAAGTTGTAACTGGAATGTAGGTATATCTAGGTATTTATACATTTTTTGTGCCTTAAAATTAATCAGCGAAAATGAGGCAGATGGGTTCAAGTTATCGGTTCTGTGTTCCTAACGACCTTATGACCCACTGTGCTCCTCTCCTCACTAAACCCAAGTCTTTCCTTTTCTACTTCTTCCTTTCTCTCTCTTTGGTCAACAAAATTAAATATATTTCCCAGTTACATTAAGATATGAAATTTACTGAACCCCTACTACTTCTAAAGCACTGTGCTAGGCAATGTGACAGCCAGATACAGAAGATACTCTTCTACTCCCGAAGTGATTATGTTAGAATAGAGGAAAAGTACATAAATGGCCATAATAAAGTGACTTTAGAAGCATATAAGTAAAACACAACATTGTATCCTCAGCATTCAAAAGACTAGCATCTGGCACATTGTAGGCTCTTAATATTATAGAATAAGTGAATGAGTGAACAAGTGGATGAATAAATGAGTAAATAAAAACATTACGGTTGCTTCATATTGGAGTTATCAGGAAAGGTATTATCTTAGGTCAGACTCCCCAGAATCAGATCAGAGACAGAAAAATGAACAAGTAAATTATTTAGAAACTCTCTTATTGGAGAAACCAATAAGAGAGTGGGGGAAGCAGGTTAGGAAAGCGGAAGAAGCCAAGCAAGTGTGCAATTGATTTTAGACACAGTTGCAACTTTTCACCCTGATCTGGCAGAGAGCTTCAGAGGATGAATGACACTTCAGAGTTTGACCCACTTGTAGGAAAGGAAGCTAGACTCATACTCCAGCACCAGGCAGTCACTGGCTATGGGCATCCCCCAAAGGGCAAGTAAAAGCCCAGGAACTTGACAAGCGGCCCAAGGGAAGGCCTCTCAGAAAGTTCAGAGGTGCAAGCTGTTAGAAGCAAAGCCTAATAAAGCCAAGGTGGGTGCAAAGAACAAGGAAGAGAAGTCTAAGGGGAACTAGATGGAGCACCAGCCACATGTGCTATAGGTGTCATGGGGTAGAGGAAATTTAAGAGAATCCTTAGAGAACAGAGAGGATCGTCAAATGTTTAAATTAGGGATTGTTGTTGTTAAGGAGCCGTAGTGGTGCAGTAGTTAAGCACTCAGCTGCTAACTGAAAGGTTGGTGGTTTGAACCCACCAGCCGATCTGTGGGAGGAAGGTGTGGCAGGCAGTTGGCTTCCGTAAAGATTACGGCCTTGGAAACCCAGTGGGGCAGTTCTTCTCTGTCCTGTACGGTTGCTATGAGTCAGAATCAACTCGACGGCAATGGGTTTTGTTTTGTTTTTTGGGTTGTTGTTCTTAGTTGTCATCGAGTCGCCTCCGACTCATGGCAGTCTCACGTGTGCAGAGTAGAACTTCTCCAGAGGAGTTTCAAGGCTGTGACCTTTTGAAAGCAGATCGCCAGGCCTACCTTCCAAGGTCCTCTGGGTGGGTTTGAACCACCAACTTTTTGGCTAGTCGTTCAGCTCTTAACCCTTTGCACCACCCAGGGACTCCCTAAATTTGGGATAGAACAGTATTACAGTGAAACCTGTGAGAGTTGGAACTCAACCAGACTGCCTTGTTTTTCCGGGTCTCACAAGTTTTCTGCCTTTGATAGGGTGCAGTTTTACCACTTTTCTATTGTTTGTTTTAGTGGAAAATTGAGTTTCCTTTTCTGACAGGTTTCCACCTTACACAGGTTCCAGTTTTCACAGGTTTTACTGTATGACGGAATGGTAATGAGGAATCAAGAGGACTTTGGGAATAGCGATAATTCGGGCTTGTTTAACTGTGTAATAAACAGAGAGAGTCATGGCAAGTAAAACCAGAAAGGAGGGTTGTTGCCGTGTTGTGAAGACACTAAAATTATAGTTAGTCATTAATGAGCAGTTTGTGTTTAGAGGAAATGAATAAAGCGATGGAGGATGTGTTTCAGGGTTTCTTCCAATTTCTTCAGAAATTATTCATTTCTTACTGTAGGATATTAAGAGTAGAGAGCGTTGTTACTCATTATAGAAAGTGACCTTGCCTTGAAGAAATATAGGAGTTGTTTCATGGATAACGATCTGCAGTTCAGAGAGTATGCATAGAGAAAGAATATGTTGATGATAGTCTACGACAGTGTTTCAACAGGAGAACACAATTCATCTAGAAGGGATCTGAGAACAAGGGAGAGAGTCATGAAAATAGACAAAAGACGATGAATCATGACTGAAAAGGGACTGAAGCCTCTGTAAAAGGATAACGGGCCTGTTTCATTTCATGTATTTTAGAATCAAGCATGTTAGAACTAACTTCTATGTGGTCTTCTATGTCAATTTGTCAGCTGAACACAGAGTTACGTGGAAGCTAGTTAAGCTTATAGAAGTTATGCTGATGATTCTCAATCTGTGACTACGTTTTCCATCCTCCAAGTCATCCCTCATCCTTACATATTCAAGGCATCATCACTACTAATCCATCTCTTTTTGCCATCTTCTTTAGCTATACTACATTTATTGGATTGTTGCCTAATTTCCAGGACAGATCTAACTGCAGTTCTAAAAGATCCGTTTATTAACCTAAGTCTGAAATAGCTTCTTTAGGATAGCACACGCTTCTTGTTCTTGGTTCAAAGTTGGTACTTCTCTTATTTCTAAGATTACGTCTCCTCTATTTAATCAAAGCAGCAAGCATTCCAGTGTAACCCTTTGGCGATCATCCTTGGTTGGTAGGACCACGGGGAAGTGCAGGGCTTCTTGAAAATCGAAGGGGCTGCAATGTCATCACTGTATTTGGTGCTAGAACAGTTGCAAAGAAGCATAATTGTTGATTATTTTTATTGTCAATAAAGCCAGATATGATTATCCAATTCCTAGCTTTAGTAATGACTACATTTGCTATGCACAACAGGATTAATGAAGCATTCCTTCAAATATGGGTTATAGATAAGCTGATCATTTTTACCAAATGTTTCTGGGAAGAAGTTACTGTGGCACAGAAAACTGCATCTGCTTATGTACAAAGATCAAAGCTGAGTTAGTATTTTCAAAAATGGTGGCAGCTAGTAGATTACCCAGTTACATATTTCGAGGGCAACATATCGAAAGTCTGCAGCTATTTCTGTATAACATCTAAAAAAATGATTCATTGTATGGCTGGCCTTCTGTGAGACCTGAGGATTCAGAGTAAATTTGACTACATGAACAAAACATACTAGTGATATGACTCTTCTTTATCAAATGGGCCAAGATGTAAAATATATACCTACTTTCATCTATCCAAATCTTACATCTTTCCTTTCCTTCATGGGTCTGTCATTTCTTTCGGCCTTAAATCAGTGTCTTATAGCATATTCAAACATTCTCTTTATCTAGACAGTTTCATTTCTATCAAGAAGTTTTAGATCTTTCTTTTAACTTATCCTAAGATCTGAAACTATCTCTACTTTCAGGGAGAGATAATATGAACTAAAACTACAGAAGGGGAACATAAAGGTGGTATTTTCTTGTTTGCTGACTGGATGTGCAAGGTTTAGCTACAGACAGAGTCATAAATTACTAAACCCAAATCCTTGCTTTTGGGGAAAATCAAGAATGAGGAGCTCTATCTTTCTTTCTTAATGCTTTAGTTAATATAGTAGCTCTCTTCAGTACTATCTCAATACTTCACCAAGGAGATACAATTTCATGAATTAGAATAACAGATAGGGACCCCAGCTCAGCTGTTAGTATTTCTCAGTTCTAAGAATTCTGGACAAGGATTATTAATCCTGATCCCATTTCTGTACGTGTGTGTGTGTGTGTGTGTTTTCTGTATCATTCATTTTATTTATTTTTTATTGCGCTTTAGGTGAAAATTCACAGCTCAATTTAGTTTCTCATTCAAAAATCTATACACATATTGTTTTGTGACATTGGTTGCAATTCCCACAATGTAACAGCACTCTCCCTCTTTCCGCCCTGGGTTCCCTGGGTCCTTTTGTCCAGTTTTCCTGTCCCTTCCTGCCTTCTTGTCTTGCTTTAAGGTAGGAGTTGCCCATTTGTATGTGTGCATTTTATCAGTGAACGAATGTTGCAGTTAGTGGAAGGGAGCACTTAGAAGCTTAAGGAATGGGCAAAAGATGCCAGATTGCCATTTTTTAAATTTTGATCAGTGTGTTCATACGAGGCTTGAGCTGAATATCTGGTCCTACTGCCTTGCATCCCATGCCTGCCTGTGAATGACCACTCTCCTGGGAGGACGATTGGATATCTTCCACCAGCAACAGAGCTGGATTTACCCAGTTTCCCAAATGCACTGCATTGGCATGTCTAGAGACTGATTACTTCCTGCTTCAACCTCCAGTTCTCATTGACCTGAGGGTTTTTGTTTCATTTTCTTTGCTTGAACAGTTATCTTTTACTAAGTAGGGACTATTTGCAAGGCAACTTTAAATAAAAATATTTAAATCAAATTTTTTGGGGGGCCACTGACTATGTGTGCTAGTTAATGTGAAGGAACACATATGATATTTAAACTCTGGGAAGACAGCAGGGAGGTACAGTATCATTATTCCTTGATTGGGTAGCATGGACCATAAATGCTACAGGAGTGCAGTGAAAATCATAGATCAAAAAGAAGAGTAATCAGTAGACGGTTGGAATGTGTTAAAAACCTTGAAGAAGAGCAGGCTGAAGTAACTAGAGGGTAAAAGAAGGGCATTCTAGGGGGAGGGAGATAACTTGGACAAAGTTCCAGAAATGGGAATGAACAAGTAGTGTTTCAGGGACCGAACTGAGACGTGCTTATTGAGACTGCAGGGTGTGTGGAGAAAGTGTGAGAAGTAAATGAAAGTTCTTGAAAACTAGGCCGAAAAATTTCACTGTAAGCAACAGATATTCAGACTTTCAGTCAGAATCAATATTTGTTTAGATTGTCCTAAACTATCTCCTTATGTTTCTTTTTTGCAATAATAAATTTATAGTTAACCTCTTCACTCAGAGGAAAAACTTTGAGTTCATAGACTAACATTATTTTTCTTTTTGTTTCAGTATCCAGTGATCACCCTTACGGTAGGATAACTGCTAACTGAAATATTGTTTTCTCTTCTTTTGGGTAGCTCCTCATCCTCAAAATCAGAATGTAGTTTACAGAGGAGGATTATCTATTTAAATTGTCACAGTATTAGTTATTCTCAAGAGGATAGAAATCTTTTTTTCCTATATGATTCACATTAACATCCACCTGTTAATAATACTGACAATTAGACAAGTATGATTTCATTCCATTTAACTTTTATTTATTGAATATATATAAATGTGAGGTTAGTGTTTTATGCATTTGGGATACTATTGGGCTCACCTTTAAGAAATGAGAGGCTAACACAGAAAATACACTTGTAAAAAGTAACTGCCCTACAATATACTAAGTGCTACAATAGGTAGCTATGTGGACCCAACCAATGTGGAACCAAATGGGAGAAAAATCAATTTTACCTGGGGAATCAGAGGACACACCCATGTTTTGAACCGGTAGGTTAGAATCTCAGCAACCAGGAAGGTCCTTACTGAAATTTTCAGACAGATGAAAAAATCCAGCATGCAACAAAACATACTTTCTTCATTCTCAGGATCCAGATGGCAATAGAATCCAACAGTGGAACAATGAGGAGTCTTCTGGAGGTCTCGTGCAACTCTCCTTCCCGTTAATCTCGGAGCCTATCCTTGGCCAGTATGGTATCTCCGTGGAGACACTCTCTGGAGAGAAAACAGATGAGTTCTTCTCTGTGGAAGAATATGGTAAATAATAGCTATGAAGATATTGTCTATAACTGATAAGAAAAATAATCAAATCTCTCCAGTTTTGCAAGGGCATGGTTACTAAATAACATATTGTTAAATTTGTATCTCTTCCTTGCCTCTTTCCTTATCTCTGTTATTATTTCAAGGTTCTCCACCTACTCTTATTGTTATCCCCTAGCGCAACCCATAATCCTCATGCAATTCCTTGTTAATCTAGGATCTCTATGCTTACCTTTCTTTTGTGACATCTGGTGTGCAGTTTATATGATAGTTTCCAAGGTGTTTACTCTCTATTTATGCCATGTTTACGCTTCAAAACACTTTTTATAAAAGGAGTGCAGTTAACATTATTTATGTGAGGAGGTGCTCCATTTACATCATCCCAGAAAACTCTCATTAAAATTCTACTGTGGCATCATTATTTCCATTCTGCAGATGTTACTGAGAAACACTTTCTCAAGGTCAGCTACTGGGAAGTTATGAATTTAGAATTCAAATCTACATCCTTTTATCCAATTTCAAGCTCTAGCTCTTACGTACCGCAGTATGCTCCTAACAGTATTAACAGCAAATGTACTCAAAGGCGTGTGGTTTGTTAAAGGGAAGACAGTTGCTTTATATGTATACATTTATGCTAATAAGACTTTTATATCTTTTTACTGACAGTGTTACCCAAATTTGAAATGACTGTGGATGCACCAGAAAATGTCTTAGTTGTGGATCCTGAATTCAAAGTTAACGTCTGTGCCTCGTAAGTTTAAGCTGTTTTTAGCTTAACATATGATTTTAGGTGACAGTTTAAGATGACTGACTACTGAAGTGTTAATACTGTAGACAGTTTAAGAACACTGACTACTGACTTGTGATTTACATCACAAGATTTAAAAAACAAAAACAAAAATTGTTGCTGTGGAGTCCATTCCAACTCATAGTGACCCTAAGACAGAGTAGAACTGCCTCATGGGTTTTCCAAGGCTGTAATCTTTATGGAGCAAACTGCCACATCTTTCTCCCATGAAGGGCTGGTGAAATTGAACTGCCAACTTTTTCTAGCAGCACAGCTCTTAACCACTGCACCACACTGTTTAATACAGTAGCCACTAGCCACGTGAGGCTATTTAAATTTCAATTAATTAAAGTTAAATAAATTTAAAAATTCACTTGTACTAACCACATGTCAAGTGCTCACTGGTTACACGTGGCTAATGACTACTGAGTTGGAGAGCACAGACATACAACACAGAACATTTCATCACCCCAGAAAGTTCTATTGGACAGTGCTTACTCTGACTTCTTGATTCAGTCTTCACATATCACATAATTAAAGAAGAAAATCATAACTCAAAATGTGTCCTAGAGAAAACTGCTATGAGTTGGAAGTGACTCCAAGATAATTCTGGTGCACTGAGTGGAGGATATCAAGGGCAGGCAGGGACTTTGGAGCAAATAAGGAGGTGCTCAGTTGGTGTATGGCAAGAGCAGCAGCCAGGCAGTTCAAGCTATCTTCTCCCTCCCCTCCTCACTCAGTTAAGCAGCATTAAATGAGACTGTGAAAATAGCAATGATAGCTAGATTGCAAACATAAAGCATCATCTCCTTAGACCTGATGTGAGGACTAACTCTTTCCCTGACTGCAGATCAAATCTCATGTATATTATACTACTTTCCTTTTACTTTTGGATAATTAAAAATTATGATAGAGGTTCCCTGGTGATTTCTAGTTATAAAGACAGTCTTATTCCACTAATTAAAGTTCCATACTGAACTTCAAAATTAAAGCTCTGCCTTTCCCCTAGCTTGCGTCTGCTTTAGGCTCGAAGTCTATCATGGCAAAGAAAGGGCACAGCTAACTACTTGAGATTCACCTCCAAGGCTGGAGGGGTAGGAGCTGAAAGAAGTAAGGGATAGGAAAGTCCCTTTGTACTTGCATTGTAGAGGCAGAGAATTGCCAGGGTAGCTGAAAATACCCTTAAGGAATGGAAGGTCCCAAAGCCCAGTTACTACTACACCATGCCTGGCTGTGTGTTGACTCCTGTAGCACAGTCACCAGAGAAATACTGCAACAAGCAGATAAGACACTCTAGCACAGGCCAGCTGGGAACTCCAGACACATAAGGATGAATCCCCAAATTGTTGAAGACTCCAACGACTTGAAATCAAGTTATTAAAGATCAACCAGAACAAGAAATTAGAAATAGTAAAATTTATATACTCAAAAGTAATCAAAGAAATTTGACATATTTATTATTAAAATTTTTATATAGATGGGCTGACTAGAAGAAGGGATTGTGCTGAAAAAAGAATTGGCGGTTTGGAAGATGAAATTGAGGAATTTCATAGACTGCCTCCCAAAAAGAAAAAAATAATCAGTATGAAAGAAAAATACAAGCGAGTAGATAGGAGTCACAGAAGGGACATGTATCAACCGTCAGCGAAAAGAATTAGCTTTACCAAACTTACAGGAGGAGAGGAATTTACTGACAGAACTCACCAGGGAGGCTTAAGAACCAGCATCAGAAAATGGACTCAAAAGCCTGGGCTAGGATATAGCCAGGAGGACTCCATTCACAACCATTTCAGAGTCCAACTTTCTAGTATACCATATTTTTATGCATTTAAAGTGATCATTCTACGTTTTTTTGCCAAAAACAGAATGCGTGCCTTATTTGCATAAAAATATGAGTTCCACCGCCACATTGCGGTGTGATACCATTTATCTAAACACACAAAATTAAAGATTCATAAATAAGTATATATTTTGTATATACTTCTATGTATATATGGAAACCCTGGTGGCGTAGTGGTTAAGTGCCACGGCTGCTAACTAAAAGGTTGGCAGTTTGAATCCACCACGCACTCTTTGGAAACTCTATGGGGCAGTTCTACTCTGTCCTATAGGGTCACTATGAGTTGGAATTGGGTCGATGGCAGTGGGTTTGTTTTTTTTTCTATGTATGTATATATATTTATATATGTTTTTATATATATTTATAGATATACGTAAACAGATTTAGCCTGTTAGTCAAAGGGGATTTTAATTTTTTATCTAGTTTGACTATTTTAACAATGAAAATATACTCATGTACTTCTGTGTAATTAAAAATAAATAGAATTTACATTTTAAATTAGAAAACGTAAAAATTAATATATGCCATTACAGCATACTTAAAAACATAGAAAAAATAAAAGAAGCAAAATAAATGCTATATTAAGAAATTAAACAGTGATTGTTCTAGCTCTTTCCTTCTTTGTTTGTTTCTTTTATTTTGTTTCTTTACATTGTGTTTTAGTGGCATAGATGTATGACTTCTACATGTTGTTTGTTTCAACCATTTTAGTTAAAATCTATTTTTACTTAAAGCATTCACCTCAATTTTAGTCACTCCTACTGTTTTAGGTTTCCTAGCGGAAATTAACTTTAAGATAATTGGCTATTGAAATGTAGTTGCATTAGTGGCTTCAGGCACTAAAGGAAGTGTTCAAAACGGTCTAGGCAAATTACTAATGATATTGATCTTTGTAATTTTACTCTTGTCATTTTCTTCTGTTAGATATACCTATGGCAAACCTGTGGAGGGGGAAGTTCAACTTACTGTGTGCAGGGAGGCTCCATATGGATCCCATTTTTGCAGGCTTCCTATCAATTCACTCTGTGAAAATTTTACCACTCAGGTAAGATATGTATCTGCAAATTCATAAATATATTTGCATTAATCAATTATTCTCACCTTCCAGTCACTTTTCTTTTTCCTCATTTCCCTCTTTACACTGCAAAATTATACTTTTCTTCTACATCCCTGGAGCCCTGGTGGCACAGTGATTAGCAGCTCAGCTGCCAACCAAAAGGTCAGCAGTTCAAATTCACCAGCCACTCCTTGGAAACCCTATGGGGCAGTTCTACTCTGTCCTACAGGGTCGCTATGAGTCGGAATTAACAGCAATGGATTTCTACATCCCTGTACCATTTGTAAATTTGCTAATCTTCTTTTGTCTTGCTAATTTTTAAAATTTTCTATTAATTGGCAAAAACCAAATTACAGTACTCTAAAGCTGAGTTGTAAATTCAATTCTTAACTGGTTCCACATTGAAACTTACGTACTACTTAAGTACTAGAAACATATGTCCTCCACTTTACCTTGTACTTTGCAAATTTAAGTTGGGGAGATATGAAGATGTTCATGTGCATTCAAGATTATTTAATGAGTAATTAAGTTATTTTTCTCTCAGTCTGTTCTCACTGAAAATAAATGTCAATAGGTATTCCAGCAGGGACATATATCAGCCAGGGTTCTTAACTACTAGCAAGAGAAATCAACTTTTTCAAACTTACAGGAGAGAGGAATTTCTTGAAGGGACTCAGTGGGAAGGCTTGAGAACCAGCATCAGAAAATGGACACACAGAAGGGTGGGCTAGAATGTAGCAAGGACTCCAGTCACAATTATGTCAAAATCTGACTGGTTAGTCATACAGCCGCCACCCACCACATTACAAACAGTGTGATACCATTTATCAACACACACACACACACACAATTAGAAATAATTAAGAACCTTCTGGTTCTTAAATTTAAAAATTTTATTTGAACCCCAAAAACAATAGTAATCATGATAATAATAACTACTTACCATTGAGGCAATTTTGACTCACGGTGATACCATGTGTGTCAGACTAGAAAACTGTGTTCTATAGGGTATTCAGGGGCTAATTTTTGAAAGTAGATTGCAGGCCTTTCTTTCAAGGTGCCTCTGGGTGGACTTTAACCATTAACTTTTCAGGTAGCAGCAACGCACGTTAACCATTTGCACCACCCAAGGGACTCCAGGATAATAATGGCTAATATTTAGTAAGTGCTTATTTGGTGTCAGGAACTGAGCTAAGTAGTTTATATACATTTAACTCTCAAAAAATCCTATGGGTCCCATACTATTGTTATCACCACTTTATCAATTAGTGGATCAGTGGGTTGAAGCAGGGAGAGATTAAGTATATTGCTCAAGATCATATATTTAAATAACTAGTGGGATTGCATCATAGGCATTTCAAGGGATACAAATTTTTCTCTGTTTATTTAGCCAACAAATAAATATTGAGGTCCTTCAATATGCAAGCATTATTTTTTTTAGGAGTGACAGTGTTGAACACGAACAAGAGAGACCTGGCCCCTGTCCTCATGAAATTTGCATTTTATGAAGCAGTCATTATCTTTAACAAAAACATGCTCACTCTAGAGGAAAAATGAACCAATATAAGCCAAGTATGCAAGGTAGTTAGATCCTGGAGAGGATTATCAAAGAAGGTTATAAAATGTAGATGATTTTCAGAGAGATCTATAAATTTAGAATACACGTTGGCATGTATGGCAGGAGTATAGACTAAATAATTCATGCAATTATTCATCTTCAAATCTAGTGAAAATGGTTCTGTACCTTTAAGCTTACGGCTGTGGTGCTAGGCCTTGGTGTAGTTTCAGGTATGTTCTGAAGACACCATATGATCTTCATCCCATCTAACATCCTTAGGTCTCAGTTTCCTCATCTCATCACAAAATGAAGGAGTTGAACAAGAACTCAATTTTCCCCCAATAGAATAGTCTATAAATCTATGAACACATTTCATGACTATGCTAGATCTCTTTGCCATATTTACCAATTCTCTCTCTTTAACTTCATTGTGAAGTTTTAAAAAATTTACTTAGTGAGGGATTTTAACTTGACCGAACAGATGTTAAGAGAAATTCAAAAGAAAATAATAACAATAGCTACTATTTATTAAATGTTTAGTAAGTACTAGGCACTAAGCTAAACACTTTCTAGTCATTATCTTATCTAATACTAACAACTCTATCAACTCTTTATTAATATCTCCATTTTGCATGAAGTAATAAGTAGCAAAGCAAAGATTCAAATCCTGGTGTTTCGACTCCAAACTCTATGCCTCTAGCCCTATGTAAATTCTAGTTCTATAAATATCCAAAGGATGGTAACTAGTAATACAACTTGCCAAAGCACGGTAACTCCAGTATAAAACTCAGTATCAAAACTGAAGAAGAATATGATTGGAATTAACAAAATTGCAGATATTATCATGAATAAATGTGACTAGAGATAGATTTGTTCATTATTTTGTGGATTAACAAAATAATCACACCATAAAGAAGGTTTTTTTGGAAGTCATCATTGTAACAGTTACTAACTGTTAAACATTCTAATGGAATTATAGGTAAATATACTAACTGAAAATTTAAATTATAGATTCACAATGTATTATTTTGTAAAATTCGAATTTAGGTAAGATAGCACTGTTAAAGTTGCTTCCCAGACTTTACACCCTTCCCCTAAAACTTCTATTTCTTATAGTCGTTTTAAAATTTAACCATTCTTTTATTGTTATATTTATTAACTTTTCAGTTAGGGAAAGCTGGCTGTGCCTCCCATCTTGTTAACACAAGTGCTTTTGAGTTATATCGGGAAGGATACCAGAATCACCTTGAAGTGAACGCTCTTGTCACAGAACTTGGAACAGGTAATGATCTCAAAGCAGTCAGATCTCAAAGGATATCACTGTTCAATTTGAATTGCTAGCTGGTAACCAGTTACATAGTATTAATATAGTCACTGTTTTCCAGGATTTGTCATCAGTTCCTCAGATCCGAAAGCTGAGTGTTTCTTACTCCAACCAAAATTTATTTGATGGACAATAAAATATAATTATACATGTGAAAAATGTTGAATTGGAAAATGTTGTTTCTATTTTTAAAACAAAAAATTTATTTAAACAATAAATTCAAATGAAACTAAGTCAGAAGTTAGAATGCAAATTTATTGTTTGGTAGCATACTCATACACACACACATACACACATAATCCCAACCTTATCAATATAAATATATACGTTAAAACATAGGAAATGATTTAAACTGTTAATTTTGGTTATCTCTGGGATTTCTAATGTTTGATAGTTTGTATTTTCTTCTTTGAACTTTTCAATTTTGAATAGTGTACATATATTACAATTCTTAATAGGAATAAACTGTACGTTTTAACCAGGCAGAGAGCAAAGAAATGTCGATAAACAATTATTTGAGCATAATGAGAAACCAGCAAAGTGATTAATCCTTCAAGAAGGAGTGGTACATGGATTAGATAATTATCAAGGTAATGAAGAGCAGGAACTCTAGTTGAGAATGACAAGCTTTTTGGATTTTTTTCCACCCCTACTAATTTTCTTTCATAAAACACATCTCAAGAAGTACCTGTGCATTAAAACTGCTTAGGAAAGGGAGACTTTCGGAAAGAATGGCTGGCCTTTGTGTTTTTTGTTTTTTTTTTTTGTCTATAACTCTGTTTGGCTATTTGGTGATTTTTTTTTATAATACTTCTTTGTCTGCAGGTGTGCAGCTTACACGCACCGAGTACATATTTATAAATTCAGCAATGGTGAGGATTCAATTTCAGAATATGGATACAGTCTACAAACAGGGAATCCCTTATTTTGGCCAGGTAAGAGAAGCAACAATTTCTTTACATGCACATTCGTTCATTCATCTTAGTTGATTCATTAATTCAATCCAACAGCTATTTCCTAGCAAGTTACTACGTGAGAATCTCTCTGCTAAGCATTGTAGGGTAACCTACACTGTTGATTTGCATAGGTTTATGTCTTTTGTCAAGGTGTAATTTTTAATAGTGTCTCTTTTCAATCTCAAATGTCCAAGTTTGGACAATAAATTATATACTCACCGTAAGTACTGGAGATTATCCCTGCCCTCATGGAATTGATAGTCTGACAGAGAAAATAGACATGAAACAAATAATTTCACAAATGATTATTTAACTATAGATGTTAAAGGTGCCATGTCAATAAAATACTGACCATTTCTGAAAACTACGCCCACAGGCAAAATCTGGCAGAGATCTTTTGTACAGCCAGTGAGCTACAAGTGACTCTTTTTTTTTTTTTTTTTTGTATTTTGGTTTGTTTGTTTCATTATCTAACTCCCCATTCCCTTCTCTCTCCAGCCTCTGGTGACCACTAATCCTCCTTTGTCTTGATGGGTTTGGCTACTCTGGGTATTTCGTATAAGTGAAATCATACAATATTTGTTCTTTTGTGTCTGACTTATTTCACTGAGCGTAATGTTACAAGGTTCATCCTGTGGTGGCATCTATCAGAACTTCATTTTTCTTTATGGCTGAATACACATATTCCATTCTATGTATATGCCATATTTTGTTTATCCGGTTATCTGTTGATTGTACAGAGTAATAAATAATTCAGTTTTTCAGGTTTCTGTAGTATTTTTACTACAAAAATATTCAGGAAACAGTGAAATATATGGGTCTGAGTTTCGAAAGATTTTTATGGGCAGAAGAAATAGAGTTTAGGGTCAACAGTATATTGATTGTATCTGCCATATACTCGAAAGGAATAGATGAACTACTCAGGAAGTGGACGCACAGCAAGGAAAGAGTTGTACCAATGAGAGAACCTTGATGTGCACCATCAAAATTGATTCCCAAATTCACTTAATGCTTCAGAAATTTGTTTTCTTCCTCTTACGCAGATTAAATTGCTCCATCCAGACAACACTCCCATCCCAAATGAAATCGTCCAGTTGTACCTGGAGGACAAAACTGTGGGCAACTATACCACAGATATAAGCGGCACTGCTCAATTTTCCTTGGACACATCTAAGATTACACACCCGTTTATCACTTTGAAAGTAAGTTAGCCAAAGGCAAGTAAAGACAAAAACACTGTGTTGGCTAGCTAAGGTTTAGGTTTATGTTAAATGATATTTATGAAACAGACATTGAAATATAAATCTTGGTGTGAATCAAGAGTGTTGCAAAATGGTTAAATATTAAGGAAGTAGATCCTATGAAAAATAAATAAAAGAATTGTTTATGAATCCAGAAAAAAAGATAACATGTATATTTATGTGTATGGTGGAGAATTATCTAAATGAAAATAAAGTAGCGCTTCACTTTCATCATGGAAATAGAAAGACAGTTACATTCTCATAGAAGGAAATATTTTGGAAACCCTGTAACCTATTGCCATGAAATAATGTAAAGAATTTTTCTGAATATATTCAAGAGAGAAGTAACTCACTATTTGTAATAATTAAAGATCATCTTTCCCACACATTTTTAAAGCACTCCTTCAGGCCTTTGTGTTGATAATGATAAATGCCCATAGTTACAGTACTCTCTTTGTCATATTTCATTAAAAACTTTGCCGTCTTTCATCTATATTGTGTATTTAGTAGCAAAAGCAACTCCTACATTCATTTTAAAAAAATACGTATTGATGTCGAGTTGATTTCGACTCATGGTGGCTTTATAGCTTCTCCATGAGATTTTCTTGGCTATAATCTTTATGGAAACAGATGACCAGGCCTTTCTTTTGTGGCACTACTGGGTGGGTTTGAACCACCAATCTTTAGGTTAGTAGTTGAGCACAAACTATTTGTACCACCCAAAGACCTTCCTACATTCATAGGTTCCTCATATTATAGTGAGAGAGGTATACTGATAAACCGAGAAAAGAAAACTAGTTGCTATAAAAAAAAAAAAAAAAAAGCCAGTTGCTGTCGAGTTGATGCTGACTCATGGTGCTCTCATGTATTGCTAATAAAAATAAAATTGTAGAATGAAATTCAATATTTCTAGAGTAATAGAATAGATTTTTAGAGTAATATTATCAAACCAAATCTTGCATAGAAAGTAAATTATAAAAACCATATAGTGGTCACTCTACAGCATAACTAAAAAGTATAGGAATTAGGTTATACTTAATGGAGAATGCCCTGAAATTTTCATGTAGGGATAGAGCAGCATGACAATCAACCATTTTATCAGATAGTCTTTCATTTCTGCTTCCTGTTTATCCTAAAATACCTATAAATTTGATTCTTTGTGTAGGCAATCTACAAGAACAATGAATACTGCAGGTTTCCTGGCTGGACATTACCTTATTATCCTCAGTCAGACTACTTTGTACGACGATTTTACTCCAAGACTAATAGCTTCATAAAAATTGTCCCAGAGATGGAAGAACTGAGATGCAACCTGCAGAAGAGGGTGACAGTGCACTACCTTCTCAATATGCGAGGCTTTGAAGACAAAACTTACACGGCGCCCTTCAATTATTTGGTATGTATTGAAAATATTCTTCGGCAACCAAAATCACATCTTGACTTTCAGTCTTCTTTGAACCTAATATAAATCCCTTTTACCCTTACACCATGATGAAGTTAAAAGTAAATACAAAAGATACGACTTACATAACTTTTAAGTTTCTATTTAAAAAAAAAGTGACAAAGCAGGCCAAGTCACAATACCCTTATCCACTTCATCTTTCTCACCACTCTTTCTTCATAGTCACCCATTTCCACCTGGACATACCGGGGATCACATCGTGGCTCTGATACTTACCAGCTATGTGGGACTTTTTGAAAGCCATTTAATTTCTTGCTGTTGTTCTTCGTTGCTGTCAAGTTGGCTCCCACACATGGCAACCTTACGTATAACAGAGAAAAACATTTCCCCGTCCTGCATCATCTCCAGAACTTTTGATAAGGTTAAGCCTACTGCTGTCACTATTGTGTCAATCCATCTCATTGAGGGTTTTCACCATGTTCTCCGACCCTCTACTTTACCAAACGTAATGTCCTTCTCCAGTGATAATATTATTGCCTAATCATAGGGTTGTTAAGAGACTAAAATGCAGGAACGCATATAAAGCCCTTTGATCGGTGCCTGGCACATGAAAGGTACTAATTAATGATTTGTTTTTATTCTAATGGATTATTATTGATTACTACGTCATCTAAATGGATGCACGGTCCTTCATTAAGATGGATGTGGATGATATAAAATTAATGAAACACGAATTTGAATCAGCAAACATTTGTTGAATGATCTTCATATTCCAAATACTATATTAGGCACAATGGTAATGGAGGAAGTAAAAAAAATGTATAACTGGAGACAAAACATAAATTATAATAATATAAGTGCAACAATGAAACATGGACAGATGTACAATCACTAAGGTGATACAGAAAAGTAAATGATTCACTCTAGGGAAAGTTCAGAACAGTGACTCTCAAAGTGTGGTTCCCAGACTAGCAGTATCAACCCTTCCAAAAAAATCAGACCAATTGCGACTCATATCAACCCAATAGGACAGAGTAGAACTGCACCACAAGGTTGCCAAGAAGCGGTTGGTGAATTTGAACTATTGACCTTTTGGTTAGCAGCTGAGATCTTAACTACTGCGCCACCGGGACTCCAAGCAGTATCAACATCAGATGGGAACTTGTTAGAAATGGAAATTTCTCTACTCCAGCCTAGACTAGTACAGAAACTCTGATGGGGCCTAGCTATCTTGTTCTGACAAGCTGTCTGAAACAGGCGGTCAGTTCATCGAAATCAGGTGAATCTGATGCATAGTAAAATTTGAGACCACTGGTTTAGGAAAAAGTATAAGAGGAAGAATATGCCTAAACAGGGTTTTTGTAGGATAAATAGCAGTTTCCCTATTTGACAGGGAATATGAGAAGCACAGTTAGGTTTGTTAGAGAGGTCAGAAGTATATGGTTATTCTGGGAACTACAGGTATTGGGGTATGTCTACATGAAGTATGAAAGTAATATAACATAATTCTGTTTTTCAGAATTATAGCAATCCCTGTTTTTCAGATTTAGAATGCTGGAATAATCTTTTGACACTTTTCATTCTGTTTAGGAACCATCAAATCATGCCTATACACACACAAACACATAAAGTCAGAATAGATTCCAGTTACAACTCCATTGAAGCCCTTTATTAAACGGAGTGGCTTATTTCGATTGGGGGCAGCATCTATGGGGAGCAGTCCTAGGGAAGGGAGGAGGGGACTCTGGGAAGCTCAGGACAGTGGCTCTTTACCAACCAGAACATAAGTACTTCAATATTTAACAGCAATATTGCCATCCTGGTGTGTGAGGAATATCAAGTGTCCTTGTGAGAAGCTGGATCTCTAGTCTTTATAAAAGTGGTTAAACATCCTCCTGGTTTTTGCCTCCTCCGCCCACCGCCCCACCCAACTCCTGCCTCACTCCTGCTCACCTTGGTATCGGTATCTCCCACTCCTGAGCCATTCTGCAGGTCTTTGGAGTGAATTGGTTCATTTGTTGTCAGCATTCATTTCTCTTGAAGTCACTTAGGTTTGACCCTCCTCGGCTTTGGTAAGACCTTTGTAATTACTTCCTATGTTTCTGTTCTAAATGATGGATCAGGGTTACATATGATAATTCTAAAAATTTTTCTTTCTTTTCTTCTCGCTCTTTCTTTCCTTCCTCCCTCCCTTTCTTCCATCCTTCCCTTTCTCCCTTCCTTCCTTCATTTTTAATTTTTAATTGTTCGTTTTCTTTGCTGTTTGCAGGGCCTTTATAGAGAAGAGGATATAGAAACTAGAATATTTTTTTTCAAAAGCAATAAGATGATTTCCACTCCTCTAACTAAAATATATTCAATGTCTTCCTATTTCTCTTAAAATAAACACCAAACTCCTTTCCCATGCCTGCAAGACTCCCACCAAGCTTGCCAAGTTCATTTTATATCATTCTACTTTATAGCAGACGCAGAGGCCTTTCATTTTCTTGGACAAGTCATGCTTTTTTCTGCTTTGCAAGCTTCCCACATGGTTTTCCTTCTTCCCATGATTATCTTTTTTTCATCTACTACCACCACCACCCCAGCTGCCTGCACCCCATTTTACTAGATGATTCCTCTTCATCATTCATCTCTTACCTTAATGGAAACTTTCCAAGAAAACCTTCCTTGATTCCTCAGAAAGTTCAAGACCTCTTCCATAATGACCTTAATGAACTTTATTTTTCTTCATGACACGTATCAAAGTCTGTGCTTATTACCTTACTTATGTCAGTGTTTGAAAATCGCCTGTCTCCTCACTTTTCTGTAACCTCCATGAGGTCAAGGACTCTGTTTGGTTTGTCTGCCACTGTATATCTTCACCTAGCATGGTGCATGTCACACAGCAAACTGTCAATACAATATTTTAGAATGAATAAATGGAGGCTGAATGAGTTGGATGGTTAGGCTTTTAAGAGGCAACATAGCTGTATGAACTTGGGAGAATACCTCTACCTCTTTGTGCCTTCTCAGTTTACTCATCTGTTATAATAATTCCTGCCTTACTGTTCTGAGAATTCAAGGAGTTAATACACGTAACAATACTCAGAAAAGTGCCTGAAAGGCTCATTAAATATTGAGCCTTATGCTTCTTTGCAACTGTTCTAGCACCAAATACAATATCTTGCAACTAGTTCTACTCTGTCCTACAGGATCGCTAGGAGTCGGTATCAACTTGATAGCAACGGGTTTGGTTTTTGGATTTTCATAAAAGTTCGGTTCTTTTTTTATCAATTAATTCCCTAAACCTGGTACCGAGAGAGTTAAAGCAATTTTAGATTTCACTGAAATGACCAGAGTAGGATTATCAGCTCTAGCAATTTTAGGCTGTATGATCTTATGGGAGTTTTTCATTTTCTCCAGGTCTCAGCATCTTTTTTAGTAGTATTCTGAGATTTTAACATAAAATGCAATGATTTTCTTAAAAGAATACAAGTCTCCAGTCTTTGCTTGTATTTTAGAGATCATAATTTAAGTCTGATGATGTAAATTTGCACAAGTTTGCTGATAAAGGTGAAGTGAAAGAAGCATTCTTCTGGAGACCCCCTACCCCCTTTTTTTTAGTTTTGAGTGGAGATGAATGAGCCTTTGCATATACCTTATTGATCAAACAAGCCCTTTTTCCAGAAAACTCTTCAAGCACTGGGAGACACTTGATAATGCCTTTGTATGTAGCTTTATTTAATTAAAGTTAATAAATTTAGGGATAATTCAACACTTATGAATATGAGTGAAAATTTTTTCACTGTGTCATAGGGAACTGTTTGTTTTGGAATATGAAACATTAAATTGTTTTATAGCAAATTTATTCATGACTCCTAAATTTTCTTCAATATAATCATTAGGATTATAAACTCATTTTCTGGTATCTTGCGTTCACTGATGAATATGTTCAGTTTCATTGTTCAGACCACTAAAAGAGATAAATCACAGTTTATAATTAAATGAAATTTGGTTATTATTCCCTAAACTTTATCATAATATTTTTATTCTTTAGGTGATTTCAAAAGGTGTAATCATTCTTTATGGGCAACAGAAAGTTGAGATCAAAGATAATGGTAAGGCTCATAATTTTAGCATAAAATTTAATGCAAAGAGAATGTTTTAATTAGGTTGTATTTTATATTTTGCTTTAAAAGTCATAACCGTCCCATTTTAAGGTTTTTACTACCCCAAATTACCCTTTGAAAATATGCAAAGTTGTATGAAAAGGCATAATTCCAAACAAAATATATCTATTAATAAATATTTATAGTGTTAATTATATTCAAAGCACTATTATAAGGTGCAGTCATGGGTCCTTCCCTTTTTCTTCCAAGAAAGACAGTAAGTATCTATGTTCAAACAGGAAGAATTTAAAAATGAGACAAAATAAGGCTTTGAAGTTTGGAGCATTAAGGAATGTCTAACTATCTTTTCCTTTTACAATTTATGGAAGAGATTGTAAACTCTTCTCAGAAATACTTCATAAATTGAATTTGTTGGGTCAGGAGATGTCTTGTTCACTGGCAGTGGATAGGATGGCTAGAACCTTCAATAGAAGGTTTCTGCTGACAGGGCCAACAGTTTTACCAAGGCACTTTTTCAGTTTGATCTTTTCTTTTCACAGATATGAGGGGCACATTTTCCATCCCTATAGAAGTTAGCACAGAGTTAGCTCCCTCTGCAATTATGCTGGTCTACACTTTACATCCTGGAGGAGAAATGGTCGCTGACAGTACCCAATTCGAAATTGAGAAATGCTTTAAAAATAAGGTAAGGAAAAGGATTCTTTCTCAGGTTTGTTCAACTTGTTGGAATACTAAGGAGAATTTAGAGGCATGTTGGGTTTAGTTAAACTCCCCATTATCCTGAAAGATGAAGAATGCAAAATAAAAGAAAGCTAGTATGGTAAAGTTAATGGGTTGGATGATTAAAAAATACCAGAATTATGGCATCCATTTAGGATATTGTCCCTGTTTTTCTAAGTTATGGATGCCATTAGAAGGGTAAATCACTAAGAAGATTCTCTCAAACTGTGTGTATGTTTAGAGAAAATTAATGTGCTGTAAAAAATAATTCTTCTTACATGGCTTGCAATCCCCTTGCCCTTTTGTCTATTTTCATTTTCAGGTCAACTTAAATTTCTCTAAGGAAAAAAGTTCACCAGGATCCGATATCAGCCTTCAGGTCTCGGCTGCCTCAAACTCTCTTTGTGCCCTTTGGGCTATAGATGAAAGTGTATTGTTACTAAGGGATTATAATCAGCTATCAGCACAAAGTGTGAGTGATTAAAACAATTTTTTTTTTTTTTAACCAACAAATGTATAATTTTATGTCTTTGCCTTAGATAGCAATGGAAAACCTTATATAAACTAGGGAAAAAAGCGATTGGCCACAGTCCACGTGGAATAAAAAATATATTAGGTTGGATATCATGTAAAATGGACTCTATTTACTCTAACCACACTAATTATGATAAAAATAAGCAGTATTTTTAAAAATAAATAACACTTACTGAATAGCTACAATTTGACAGGCACTGGACTAAATATTATGATATACGTTATTAAATTTTATTCTAATATTAACCCTGTAGAATTAATATAGTATTCCCATTTTGACTAATGAATAATCTTTGGCTCAAGAAGATTTAGTAAGTTAACCAAGGACATTGTTTGACAGAATGTTGTGAAGTCTCTTTATCTGGAAGTTACTAAAATCCAATTGAGTCTCAGTTATCTTCATTGGTTTTAATGTGACTAAGCCAGTAATTGTTTAACTGATTAAATAATGTTTCAAAGTGTTTAGATCTCTGTGGTCCTAAATTTTACTAGCAACTATTTATTTGGTATAGATATGATGATAATTTTCCATAAGCTTTCCATATATATAGTTTATTCTCTTCTACCACTTAGGTATATAATAAGCTATATTACAGGCAACTATATGGCTATTATTTCAAAGGACTTGACTTAGAGGATAGCCCTAAACAGCCATGTCTCAAACGAGAACAAATCCTTTATAATGGAATTTATTATGTACCTGCCTGGGCTGACTTTGGAAGAGATGCCTATGACCTTGTGGAGGTAAGATAACTATGTTTTAAAGCGATGAATATGTGTGACAAAATATAAGTAACTGGAATGAAAATAACAAAGATAGTCTTATATGTGTGTTTTATCTAAGAATTCTCAGAGTATTAATTTGTAATGCAGAACTAATATCTGAGAAAATTATCAGTTTTCCTAACATAGGGCTAGATGCATTATGTACTGGGTGTCTAATATGAATCTCCAAACTCTTGCTCCTATACTCACTCACCTCCAAATTGAGATTCTACTATATTTAAATATATATATTAAAGTATTTACAAGTGGAATATTCTCCCTAGCCCAACAAAAAATGCCAAATTCAAGCTAGTGAATAAAAAAAAAAAGTTGCCGTCATTTCCACTCCAACTCATGGCAACCGCATGTGGGTCAGAGTAGAGCTGTGCTCCATAGGGTTTTCAATGGCTGAGTAGATCTCAGACCTTTCTTCCAAGACGCCTCTGGGTGAGCTCAACCCTAACATTTTGGTTAGTAATGAAGCTCATTAACTGTTTTCACCATACAAGGATCCCAACCCATTGCCATCGAGTCGATTCTGACTCATAGTGACCCTATAGGACTGCCCTATAGGATTTCGAAGGAGCAGTTGGTGGATTTGAACTGCCAATCTTTTGGTTAGCAACTGAGTTCTTAACAACTGCACCACCAGGGCTCCAAAAATATGGAACGTCTCACGAATTTGTGTGTCGTTCTTGCACAGGGGCCATGCTAATCTTCTCTATATTGTTCCAATTTTAGTATACGTGCTGCAGAAGCCAGCACCCACTCAGGGATAGAGTGGTATAAGATGAGGTTTTATTTTCCTTTCTCATTCGAAGATTTTTATCAACAGCTGTTAATTAGGAAAAATAAAATGTCATTAAATCAGAGAAACAAGGGGAATTGAAAACATAGAATTTAGAAAATGGCAGGGAAGTATCTCTAGGTTTGTGACATTTAAGAGATAGAGAAATAAACAAGAGAAGGGAATGAAAAAAACATAGAGAACAAAAAGTTTTTCTAAACTGCTACTCTATAATGTTGTGTGATTTAAAACTGATTTTATCTTAAAAGGCAATGGGGTTAAAGGTTTTTACCAACTCTCATTACCGGAAACCAGTACTGTGCAAGAAGAATCCCAGCCATCCGGACTGTGATGACGAAGATAAAGAATGTGAGTCTTAGTATAATGTGAGGATCAGATAACAACTTGTAATCTCTGACCACTTATGAAGTGAGTTGGGGATTTGGAGAAATAGGAGAGATTTCTTGTCTTTTTTTTTTTTTTTTTTTTAGTTGCCTATCATATCAAATGTTAGAAACATAGAGAGAATAAGGCAGATGAATCTTTATACGCCTGGGGTTTATATTGAAGTGGGAATGCAGACTATATATTGACAACATAATTTCAGATGATGATAAGTACTCTGATAGTTAATATTTATTGAATGGTTACTATATACCAAGCAATGTTCTAAACATTTTGCGTATATTAATCCATTTATTCTTCACAACCTATAGATTAAAAACTATTGCTTCCAATTTACTGATGATGAAAGTGAGGCAGAGAAAAGTTAAGTAACTTGCCCAATGAAACAGATAATAAATGGCAAGGATGTGATTGTAATCCAGACATTCTGGCCCAAAAATCCATGTTTTTTATCATTGTATTGTACTAAATCTCAAAGAACTACTATTAAGAAAATAAAGCAAGATAAGGGAAAAGAGGATGCTGTGAAGAGGTGACTGAATGATCAGAAACTTGAAAGATGTCAAGAACTATGCAAAGAAATTTCTAGGAAAATTGAAAAATAGGCAAAAGATACGAAGACAATACAAAGAAGGAGAAACAAATAGGTAAAAACTATATGAAGAGATATTTAACCTCACTAGTAATCATAAAAAAAAATTAAAAGAACATTGAGAAACCAGATGACACATACAACAATAGCAAAAAAAAAAAAAAGTAAGAAAAATTAAATACTACTGATTATTCAAATAAGGTAAATTGAAACCCTGGAGACCAGAAGGCAGTGAGATGACGTATTCAAAGTGCTGATTTGGGGGGCGGAGGGGAGCTGTCAAACAAGAATTCTATATCAAGCAAAACTACCCTCCAAAAATGAAGGCACAATTAAGAGGGATAAAAGCTGAGTTTGTCACTAGTGACTTTCCATTCAAGAAAGGTTAAAGGGAGTCTGGTAGAAATAAAAGGGTACTAGACAGTAACTCGAAACCATATGAAAAAATAAAGAACACCAGTGAAGATAACTACACAGGTAAATATAAAAGCCAGTATCATTGTGGTTTGGGTTTATAACTCTTCTTGTATTTCTATATGATTTAAAAGACAAATGCATAAAACAATAATTATAAACCTATGTTAACGGACACACAAGGTATAAGGCAGTAATCTGTGACAATAACAATGTAAACAGGGAGGGACACGAAGTTGTACAGAAATGAGCTTTTGAAGTGGAGTTGGTATTAATTCAAACTAGGTTGTTATAAGTTTAATATGTTAATTTTAACCCCAATGATAACCACTAAGAAAATAACTAAAAACTATAAAGAAAAGGAAATGAGAAGGGAATCAAAATGGCATACTACAAAAAAAAAAAATTAAGAATTAAAAAAAAAACAAGAACATGCCCTAGAGCAGAAATTAAAACTGAAAATTTGCCCATCAAAAGAAGTATAAACCAAAAAAAAAAAAAAAAAAGCCATACCCGTTGCTGTCAAGTTGACTCTGACTCAAAGCAATCCTATAGGACAGAGTAGAACTGCCCCATAGGGTTTCCAAGGAGCAGCTGGTGGATTTGAACTGCTGACCTTTTGGTTAGCAGCCAACCTCTTAACCACTGCTCCACCAGGGCTCCAAGAGAGGTATAGATAATTAAAATTTCATACAAAAATGGGAAGGATTACCAAAAAGAAACTAAAAATAATGAAATAGATACATTTGTACCAACAATAATATAACTGAAAAACACTATATTAAGGTGGAAAAACCCAAGTTGACAAATAATAAATATACTACCATTTTCAAAATTAAAGGAGAATACAAAACATTGCCTTATATTTTCTATGGATACATGGGGAGAGTACCCACCAGTAGAGGTGTGACAAACTGGGATTGGTGGTGGTGTTCAAGGAGAACTTTGATTTTGATTTTAATGTTTTAATTGTTTTATAGGATGATGCATTCCCATATTACTCGCATAATGTATTTATAAGTATGATATATCAAAATATCAATGATAGATGAATACAAAGATGAATAATTAATACTCTTAACTTTTTTAATAAACACTTGTAAGATATTCATAGATCAGTCGCCAGAAATAGGATCTTAAAATTTGGTTAAAAATTATTGTGAGGATTAAATGAGCTAAAATATGTGAAAAGCATTTCCAATAGTGACTTAGACATAGCAATGATTCAATAAATGATAGCTGTTATTATTATTAGATCTTGTCCTCAGAACAATTTATTTGCTAAGAAGTTAAATTTGACTTTTAAGATATGAAATAGCATACCCCTGATATTGTATTTTGTCTTCCTATTGAAATAACTTCAGTTTTGAAGCCTTCTGGGAGTTTTGAAGCTGGAGGGATTGCCCCTTTCCGTTCTTATGTCAATACTGTGCGGAAATCATTTCCTGAAACTTGGGTTTGGAATCTTATCACAACTGAGTAAGTTTTTTTAATTGTTTTTTATGTGCATTTAATTATTTTTTTTCTTTTTATCGAAGCAAGTGAGGCATAATATTCATAAATATTTGCCAGCTTTATCAAACTAAATGTGTCCAAAAGCCTGAAAATTAAGAGAGTGTGTCAAAAATTCTGCAGAATCTCTGATAAACTTCTACTAGCTTCTCTCTTTTCTTCTTTTCTTCTTTTCACTTTCTCCATTCTTTCATTTTCCTGTTATTTATTTTTCTTACTGTCATTTTTTATCATTTATTTTTTTATAAATATCTGATTTTGTTGAAAGAAAAATTGTACTGAGAGACCATGAAACAGACTGAAATTTGTTTTCTATTGTATGACATGATGAACACAATAATAAATACATATCGATGTAAGGGAGAAAGAAGGAAGGAGAGGAAACAATGTAGAGGAATCAAGAAGAGTAGAAAAAATTAAAAAATAATGAAAAGTAGGAAAAAAAGGGGGTGGGGGAAGTTGGGAAAAATGAGTTTCTAAGTAGTACCATAATAAATTCAAGTATAAGGCTAATGTGAATATTTTAAACTTGGAAACTATATTATAGGAATCATGTTTCTAAACTTATCAGTAAAGTTGGCTAAATATGGCAAAAATAGTTTGTAAGTAAATTAAACTTACCAGTTACTTGTTGCCATGGAGTTGACTCCAACTCACGACAACTCTATGTGTGTCAGAGTAGAACTATGCTCCATAAGGTTTTCAATGGCTGCTTTTTCAGAAGCAGGTCTCCAGGCCTTTCTTCCAAGGCACCTCTGGGTGGACTCGAACCTCCAACCCTTTAGTTAGCAGCCAAGCTCATTAACCATTTGCACCACCCAGGGACTCCAAATTAAACTAGTCAAGAAGGTATGTATCTCATGTAAGTTAAACAAGTCATTAATTTAGGTATCCTGATTATTCCAACATTTCTAAATACTTTGAGGCTAATGACCAGTCACAGTCTATCAATAATTAAAGAGAAATATACACATATAAAAGTATATTTGTATTTGTAAGTAAGTGTGAGATTAATATCAAGTATTTCAATAATTTATAATTTGGTAGGGATTATAAGAAATGAGAGCATCAATAAGATTTAAAGTAGAGTAAAAAGATAAGAGCTCAGAATTAAGAGCCAAAGTACAATCTAAGTAAGTCTAAGGTAAGGGAAGCTAGAATACCGGACACATTTATAATAAGGAAAAAAGGAGCTTCTTTATAGATAAGGTAAAAAGCAGCCCTGGTGGTGCAACAGTTAAGCACTTGGCTGTGACCCGAAAGGCTGGTGGTTCAAACCCATCCAGCAGCTCCATTCAAGAAAGACGTGGCAATCTGCTTCTATAACGGTTACAGACAAGAAAACCCTGCTCTGTTACATGGGGTCACTAAGAGTCAAAATCGACTCAATGACACCTAACAACAACAACAACGACATAGATAAGGAATAACAAGGAGCTGAACAGAGGAAGAACGGGATAAAGAAAGAGAATTCGACTGTTACAGTTTAGTAGAGTGTCACACAGTCAAAGGAAGAGATACTAAGCTTTGAGTAAATGCAATGATCTAATTATATATTGTATGGTGACAACTCGTCTCTTCACTGTTATCTGAATCTTCTCATTTAGCTCCCGGGGGAAAGCCAGTCTTCCTCTTACTGTTCCTGATACCATTACACAGTGGAAGGCCAATGGATTCTGCCTAGATGATAAAGCTGGATTTGGCATCTCCCCAACCATCTCCCTGACAGCTTTTCAGCCCTTCTTTGTGGATCTTACTCTCCCCTATTCAGTTGTTCGAGGAGAAGCATTCACTCTGAAGGCCAACGTCTTCAACTACCTGAATAGATGTGTTCAGGTATTGCCTTGAATCTTATTAATAAATAGCAATTTCTTTCCATGCAATTATCTTCAAACTTGAGACGTATGATGATATGGGACGTTGTAAGTACTTTCTTAGCTAAGTTTGTTTTGAAAACATTAACTAGTTTTACCAGTCAGCCAGTGTGGGGTTTAGAAATATAAATTAGTATATCTAGGTGACTGGCTGAACATAAAAGAACTGAATATAAACTCTGTGATGTAAGTAAGTCATCTTTCTCCTTTGTGTGTGGTGGGGGGGGTAGGGGGATGAATGATTGGACGAAGAAATGTCTAGTACCTTCAGTTCTTCAGCATCTCCAAGGAAGGTCTTTTATGCACAAGATCCTCCTGAAGCAGAGGGATTTATGAAGTAATTAAGCTGGATGTTATAAATTAGATTTTAAATCTGCTTATCTTTCACCTTTGGATTCCCTGGGAATATGCAGAATATATGGTATCTCAGTGGTTTCATGGGCTCTTGACTGCTGGATAATAGCTGTGAGAAAACAGCAATTTCATAGCAGATAAAGCATAGTATTTATTACACTTATTTCTAGCTCTGTTGCTTTGAACAAAATAATTAACCTCTCTAACCAAAAACAAACCCATTGCCGTTGAGTTGATGCCAACTCGTAGTGACTCTGCAGGAGAGAGTAGAACTGTCCCATAGACTTTCCAAGGCTGTAATCTTTATGAAAGCAGACTGCCACATCTTTCTCCTTCAGAGCGACTGGTGGGTTCCAACTGCCGACCTTTTGGTTAGCAGCCGAGTGTTTAACCACTGTGCCACCAGGGCTTCTATCAGTGTGTAAAATGGCCTTAGTAACACATATTTGGCAGGATTTTGTGAGAACTGAGTGAGATAATATAAATGACGAGCCTTGCACGATACATTGCAAATAATAGGCAATTGAGTTAACTTCCCCTGTCTTTAGCCTTTACCTAAATAACAAACTTCAGTAAAACCTCTAGTAATTCTACAGCCTTTAGTTTATCTTATTGGCTCATCTTTTGCTTCAGTATGATTTTTTAATATGGTATGTTCCTCAAAGCCAGCACTTTATTTTATCCGAGAATTGGATCAACATCAGTAAACAGTAGTTACAAACTGACATATCCAAAATGCCAAGTAAGATACCTGACGAAGGTATTCATTGTTTAAACGGTACAGTTTACTGAAAGAAATCAACTATGCAAAACCTACTCAATTTATCAAGATGCAGCATTCAGTAGCAGCTGCTTTTTAGGGAAATAAAAAAGAAAAGATTTTCTCACATTAAAGACAGTTTTTGCTTGTTAAACAAGATTTTGTTTGTGAGCCTGAGATGGGATGCACTGTTATAGATATTTTATATTTTATTTGATATACATGACAACTGTGAGCAGTAGATGACAATGGCCTCAATTTATAGACAAGAAAAAGTAAACTGAGACTCATAAGACTTTATGATAACTTGATCAACCTAGATTGGCCAAAACATCTAAAGCAGTGCATTGTTGTATAAGACCTAAGTACTGCTTTATTCCAAATAATTAGGCAAAGGTCAGTAAGTGTCAAAGATCAGATTATAATAATTTATGTAATAAGACTTTGGAGGTTTCCTCTGGACTTGGAAGCCATTCTTCCCACAGCACAAGATATGAAAGGTGGGGAATCTCCTTTCTGATCTTTTAGACATTCACAGCTGTATGATGTAAATGTACGGAAAGAATTAAATCTTCTTTCTCTCTCTTTTCGTATCTGGCTGTCACAGATTAGTACTGTACTGAAAGCATCTAATGCTTACCAAATCAAACGTCTCCCAACTGAAGATGAAAATGTTTGCATATGTGGCGGTGAGAGAAAATCCTATGCTTGGCTGGTTACTCCCCAAGCACTGGGTAAGCTTTTCAGTTCCTATATATTTTTATATTCTTTCGTAAATCCTCCTAAGAGCTTATGTAAGGCTATTTCTCTATTACAGCAAGTTTACTCATTGCTTAGTACCACCACCTGTCCATTTTTCTATTCCTGTTGTTAGCTGCCGACAAGTCAGCCCCCAACTCATGGCGACCCCATGCACAATGGAAGGAAACACGGCCTCGTCCTGCTCCATCCCATTATGGGTTGCAGATCAGACCATTGTGATCCACAGGATTTTCATTGGCTGATTTTCAGAAACAGATCACCAGGCCTTTCTTCCCAGCATGTCTTAGTCCAGAAGCTCTGCTGAAACCCATTCAGCATCATAGCAATACAAGCCTCCATTGACAGATGGATGGTGGCTTGCACATGAGGTACATTGGCCAGGAATCAACCCTGGTGTCCTGCATGGAAAGTGAAAATTCTACAACTAAAGACCACTGCCCTCTTTTCTTTTACAACCTAGGACCAATTTGCATGGGAACAAGGGTTGGGGAGTTGGAATCAAGTCCTGACTTGAAGAGCTCATATTTTCCATGTCATACTTCTCTCTCTCTTCTGTAAAATTTCAATTTTATTTACAATTTACTGCAATTTAGAGCCCGGAGTGATCGCTGCCTCTTTGAATCTCCGTCATCAGAATTAATCCATTGTAATTCTGCCTTTATATTTCCTGACATTTTAGGTACTGTCAACCTCACTGTCGTTGCTGAAACCCTGACGAACAGTGCCTGTGGAGATGGGTCTTCCGAGTCTCTGAACACTGGCTGGAGGGATACGCTGATCAAACCACTGCTGGTAGAGGTATGGCCTCAAAGTGAAACCTATGGGCTTTGAGGAAGAAATCTGTCTGTATTTCAAAATGTTTTTCTTCATTAGGAAGTGTAAGTATCCCTTTCAGATCTCACATACATAGTAGGAAGGAGCACTTATTCAAAAAGACAGCACAATATTTCAATCAAATACTTGGGAAAAAAGACCAGGGACAGACATTCTGTCCTGAGACATTTGGTCTGCAGAGAACATTTACAGTCAAATATATAATATTCTTGAAAAAGAGATAGATCATTTTGAAGCTTGAAGGATTTTTGAGAAAATCCTTGCCTTTAATTTTAGAAACACTTAGCTTATTCTATAGCATGCAAAATCAAATGGTTCACTTTTTTATTATCTTGGGCTTAAAAGTTTATATACTCATTATCTGGGATAATTTTTTGAGGATGATTTGTTCTTTTTAAACATTTTTACTAATTCTTGAATATGTGAATTTGATTATGACTCCTCTCTTTTCTTCTCCCAATAATTAGCCTGAAGGTATTGAAAGGGAGATGACACAGGGCTCACTTATTTGCACAAGTGGTAAGTAGGACCTCACTTATTTGCACAAGTGGTAAGACTTTTATATGGTCTTGCTAACTTGGCAACATTGAATGAAACCTCTGTTTATCTTTGTTTTGGAATTAACTGTTTTATTATTGATCTCCTGGGAAAGATTAAATTACTTTCAAGTAATACAATTTAATTGTGCCATAAGCAAAAGCAAATTAGAGACTTTAAAGTTCTCCTTAAAATCTATTCCTCAATTCAGAATGCAGTGTCCTTGACTTTCACTCCAGCCTTATCTCTCCCCTTAACTTCGCCCCATCCAATCTTTGATTTCTTCATTAAAAGTTAATTATTATGATCCCGAAGGTCACCTTTCAGCCAAATAATCAATTACCTATAAAATAAATAATAACACCAGTGAGGAACGTGCTCCTTTAAACAATCAACTATACAAGACCAAATGGTCAACCTTTATCCAAAAGAAAAGATGAGAAGGCAAGGAGGGGCAGGGACACTGGATGGATGGAAAGGGGAAGCTTGGGTGGAAATGGTGAGAGTGCTGACACGTTGTGGGAACTGTAACCAGCGTCATGGAACAATTTGTGTCTGAATTGTTGAATGGGGATCTAATTTGCGCTGTAAACTGTCACCTAAAACACAATATAATATTCAAAATACATAAATAAATAAAAAGACTACCAAAAAGGTGAAACGACAAGCTATCTACTGGGAGAATATCTTTGGAAATCATATATCCAATAAGAATCGAATAACCAAAATGTGTGTAAAACTTCAACAACTTAACAACAAAAAGATAACCCAATCATAAAATGGACAAAAGACTTGAGTAGATATTTCACCAAAGGGGACATTCAAATAGCCACCAAACACACAAAAAGCTGCTCAAAGTCATTAGCCATCAGAGAGATACAAATTAAAACCACAATGAGATACAATTTCACTCCCACTAGGATGGCTAAGATAAAAAGAAAATAATAAGTATTGGCAAGGATGTGGGGAAACTGGAACACTTATCTATTGCTGGTGGGAATGCAAAATGGTACAGCTATTGTGAAAAATAGTGTGGCAGTTGCTCAAAAAACTAAAAATAGAACTACCATATGACCCAGCAATTCTACTCCTAGGTATATACCAAAAAAGATTTGAAAGCGGAGACTCAGAGACTTGTACACCAATGTGCATTGCAGTACTATTCACAGAAGTTAATTAATATGATTATAAACAATCCATCAAAAGATGTTAATCACAGGCTAATTGCCCCTAACTATTTAACAAATGTGTTTCAAACTCTGGTTTTAAAATCAATGTGAGTCCCGAATTAATAAATTCACTCTACTGTTTCCTAGGAACCACAGTATCTCAATCAGTGGTGCTAGCATCACCAGAAAATCTTGTGCAAGATTCATCTAGAGCTTATTGGTCTGTTCTTGGTAAGTTTGGAATATAATACATTATAGGGGAGTTATATATAGGCTTAGAAGCCCCGGTGGTTCAGTGGTTAAGTGCACAGCTGCTAAGTGAAAGGTGAGCTGTCTAAACCCACCAGCTGTCCCACAGAAGAAAGATGTGGTAGTCAGCTTCTGAGATTACAGCTTTGGAAACCCTATGGAGCAGTTCTACTCTGTTCTATAGGGTCACCATGAGTTGGAATTGACCTGATGGCACACAATAGCAACAACATATATAGGCTTGGTCCATGGTCCTGTTTGTTGGTTTTGTCATGTTTTGGGTTCCATTTCCAGCCTTAGAATTTAATGATTGAGGTTAGCGCATTTCTCTAGACACTCCACCACAGTAAGAAATTAAGTGCTAGAGCCTCCAAATCTTTTGACTCTTTCTTTTCCTAAAAGGTCATTTTAGCTTTGGCCCATAAATATTCAGTCCCATAATTAGCCCTCCTGGCAGGTGTCTCATTCAGAACACCTCTGTAAAGAAAAGTGCTGATATTTCTCACAAACTAGTGATTTTTAGACATGATATCCTCAACAGGTTAACGTTCAAATTTCATTTTTTTGCATTGGAATCATAATACTCAGGTAAGCTCAAACAACACCCTGCAGAAAAGTAATTGTCCCTGTGGCCAATGACCAGAACAAAGCAAGCTTCTTAATCTTAACTTGTAGGCTGTATAAACCCAGAGCCTAAGTGACCTGCCAATGACTGGAAAAGCTTCAGGTTAATCAGGAACAACTACAGGTTACTTTCTGGTGTAGAAAGGAATATAAAATATACACCAAAATTAAAGACAGTGTGTACCTATTATTGTTCCCCTGGTGAAAACCAGAAAACTGCTTTCTTAGCCTACTCAATATTAAAAGATAGCTACTTCCATGCTTTACTGCTATCATTTTCTTTTTTTTTAAAGTTCCTTGACTGTTTAGCCCCTACTCACCAGCTGTATAGAGTCCAGGGTAAAAATTTAAGATGGAGATGTAAAGAATACAATGGAAGAGATTTTGCACTACATGTAGGATTATAGTCAAATTGTAGTAGGAAAACGCTACTCAGACAAACGCTCATTAAAATAAAAAAACAAACTCGTATCAAGAACATCCCTCAGGATCACGACCAAAGAACGTCTAGGTTTAACCTGAGCTTTTTGGCAAATCAGTTATATCCATACATCATCACAATGATGTCCAACAAATATAAGTCACAGATACTACACAGTCATATTTATGACAATCATCCTAAACTCTTCTTATTTTATTTCCAAATGGTTCAATTTCCATTCAGACCATAGAGATTCCTTACAGTGGCTAAGCATATTGTTATTGTGTGCCGTGAGTTAATTCTGACCCATAGCGACCCTGTAGGGGTTTCTTGGGCTGTAATCTTTACAGGAACAGATAACCAAGTTTTTTCTCCTGCGGAGACACTGGTGGGTTCCAGCCACTGACCTTTCGATTAGCACTGAGTGCTCAACCATTGCACCATAAGGGCTAAGCACAGTAGACAAGAAAGCTGACTCTGCAACAGGCTGCTGAAATCTCAATCCCAGATTCAACACTTGCTGTATCACTTTGGGCAAGTTACTTAACCTCTCTGTGCCTCATTTCCTCATCCCTTAAAGGAAGATAATATTATGTATTTCATAGAGTTGTTATAAAAATTAAGGGAATTAAGATGCTTACACCCCTTCCAGATATGTAGTGGGTTCTATATAAGTTTTAAGCATCAGTAAAGAGTGTGTAGGGAAGTTGTTAAGCCCGGGCACTCTAAAGTCATACTGTCTGTGCTCATTCTTGACTCTGACGCGTCTGTTTTGAGTGATGTCAGGATATTTATTTACCTCTCCATGCCTTGGTTTTCTCATGTATAAAGTGGAAATAATAATAGTATATAGTATCTACTCAGTCATAAGGATTGAATGAATTAATGTCAGTGCTCAGAACAGTATCCAGTACATGGTAAGCATTTCATAAAGGTTTATTTGGGGCCCTACTTTTGTCCTTTCAAATTGATAATTGGCCTTGAGTTCTCTTGCTTCGTCCTGGGAATTTTGATTCCCACAAATTTTTGGGCTCTTCTACTCTTGGCTGCTTTGGGAAACATAGCTCCTCCTTAGTTCTGGAAGCAAGGTCTGACATGTTTTGTTAACTCTACAGTGTGGGCCCAACAAGTAGAGAGAGAGGAAGATTTAGATAATATAGAAAAATAATTATTTTGAATATCCATAGCGTAAAGGTGTTGAACATAACCTAATATTATTTTTCTTATCGGTTTTGATAAAGTACTTCATATTGATTTGATTGACTTTTCAGGAGATCTTCTTGGTTCTGCCATGCAAAACTTAAGGAATCTTCTCCAAATGCCTTTTGGTTGTGGAGAGCAGAATATGGCTCTATTCGCTTCCAATATTTACATCTTGGACTATCTGAGTCAGACTCAACAACTGACAGAAGAGATAAAATCCAAGGCTATTGCATACCTGATCGAAGGTAAAGCATTTAAAAGTCTTTTTTTATTTTTCTCGGGTAAATTCCTGAATCCCAGCTCTTTTCTCTTGTTAAGTACACTGAATGTATTTGTGTATATGTATATATTCACTTATAACTAATGTGAATAGTCAGTTTATCCAATTTTCCTGCTGGGTATTACTTTTAAATTGAAAAATAGTTAAATCTTCTTTCTTGTTCTAGGATATCAGAAGCAGCTGTCTTATAAACACTCAGATGGATCATATAGTACCTTTCGACAAAGAGATCAGCAAGGAAACACATGGTTTGAATTGATTTTAATTTATATGAATTTAATTAGAAGTTTTTTAACATTTCTTTTTTTATCAAGTAGCTATTTGGGAATTTTATAAAAACTATGGACCTGTTTATATTCAAGCCTCCACACACGTATACACAAATTCAATTTAATAGGATTCTTGGGCTTTCAGGTTAAAAACTCATGATATATGGCTTTATTTCTATCTTTTACTTATGAACAATGCATGCTAAATAAACAAATCATTAGGCAAAAAGAAAGTAACTCAACAGGTAAGAATAAGGAATGTGAAACCTAGTTTAATATACAAGCAAATTATTCCAACCAAAACATTAATATTATCCTAAATCAGCCTCAACGGTAACTTCAGCATCACTTATGCTCACTGACAATGCCACTCAGAAGTAGTGTTGTACAGATTGCACTTTCTTGATGAGATATTAAAAACCCGTATTTGAGCACAATGGTACTTGCTACAAATAGTGAAATAAGTACTAAAAACAAATTAAGCATAGATTGTGTTATGATTGTAAGCCCAAAAGATAGGGTGATAGGTGAAATACAAGTTTTAAGAATTATTCCTTATATTCCTAACATTTATTTATACCACTGACTACTATGTCCTGGGAACAGTAAAAAGCCCTTGAGATACAAAAAGACAAATGCTAATCATAATAATCCTTATCTTTGCTTTTATTATTGAGTATAATTAATCCCCATAACAACCCAGTGAGGTAGGTAGCATTACAACACCAATTTTAAGATGAAGAGATAGACACAGGAAGGTTAAGTAATTTGTCCAAGGCGACACTACTAGTTATGAAGCAGAGCTGGAATGTCTTTTCCAAAAACCTGAGCTTTCCCCGACTACATAATTTTGCCTCTCAATAATACATGGCCCTTGACCTCAGAAAGTTTAAAGTATAGTGGGGAAACACAAGTAAGAAAAAATGTTAGAATGCAATATGATAAAAGATAAAGTAAAAATATGCACATGATTCTGTGGAAGCTCATAGGAAGGACAACTTTCCTCAAAACTGTATGATGATTTGTTTGAATTAAACATAACGCAGCTTACACGCATTGATGAATATAACTTGGTGCTTGCCTGCAAAGAATGCCAGTCTATAGGGAAAAAGAGTACATATATAAGAGTAACCCTGATTTATCACGATTGAATGAGCCATTTAAACCCTCTGGACCTCAGGTTATTTGTGAAAATGAGGCACAAATGCCTCATCTTAGCCTGTAAGATAGTTTTCTAGTTACCTATAACCCGTTGCTGTCGATCACGACTCATGGCAACCCCATGTGTTACAGAGTAGAGCTGCTCCACAGGGTTTTCTTGACTGTAATCTTAACAGAAGAAGATTGAGTCAGAATAGACTCAACGGCAGTGAGTTTTTGTTGTTGTTTGGCTTTCTTCCACAGTACTGCTGAGTGAGTTCAAACTGTTAATCTTTAGGTTAGTAGTTGAGTACAAACTGTTTACGCCACCCAGGGATCTTTTTCTGTTTACAACATACTGTAATTCCTCAATAAATGCTTGTTGTTGTTAGGTGCCTCCGAGCTGGTCCCGACTCATAGCGACTCCATTTACGACAGAATAAAACACTGCCCACTCCTGCACCATCGTCACAGTCGGTGCTGTTTGAGCCCATTGTTCCAGCCACTGTGTCAATTCATCTTGCCCGGGGTCTTCCTCTTTTTCGCTGACCCTCTATCTTACCAAGCATGATGTCTGGGACTGGTCCTTTGTGATAAGCTCTTAGATGTTAGGAAAGGACAAATGCAGGAATTGTGCTTGAGGTAAAGAGAAAAGAATCTGGGAAGACATCATAGGCAAGGTAACACTTCACCTAGGAGATGAATGATTAATAGAGAGAAGGTGGAAAAGGAGGCACATAATCCAAGTGTGTGGAGGTTTAAAAGGAATTAGTGAGTTGACACATTAGGCCAGGATTTGGGGGAGGATTTTCAAAAAACGAGACACAAAAATCCAATTGTAGCAAGACACACGTTTGAGGGAACATCCCCTTTGTCCACATTTGCTATACATAATTCATTGTGTGTTATTTTTTCCAGGCTCACTGCATTTGTTTACAAGTCATTTGCACAAGCTAAACGCTACATTTATATTGATGACAAAGTTCAGTCCCAAACCCTTATTTGGCTCATAAGTACTCAGGAATCAGATGGCTGTTTCCCAAATTTTGGCAACGTCTTCAACAATGCTTTGAAGGTACTGGTGAAGTTCTATCTTACAGGTTTCTGTTCTTTCTTCATGATCATTTAGTGAATCCCAAAATACCACCACAAAATTTGATAGAAATCATTGACCTGGGATTTCTACCAGCATAAATTAGTTATCTTGAAAAATCTATAAAGCCTTTTGTGATGGTTAAGATTGTGTGTCAACTTGGCTGGGCCATGATTCTTAGTGTTAATATGTGATCACTCCTGAAAGTAGTTCTAGAGAAACAAAATTATAAGACTGAGTTTTCTAAATAGGCTCTCAAGTCTAGCTAGTCTTGAAGACATTGATGACTCTGGTTTCAACAGTAAAGAGGGCACTGCTAGTCCATGGCATGGGGTGGTGATACAAATACTCAAAATATCGCCACCAATAGATCAGGTATTATTGAAAGGCAAGGCTCAGGTGAACACATGTGTGATATCTTTCTACAGTTTTATCAGAATGAGAAGTATAAGAAAGCTGGTTGGTTGGTCCTACTTTTGCTAGACAAACTGGTGAAAGAAAGAGATGTGCTCAGGGCTTCAGAGTCAAAGCTTGAGTGCCACATAAATGACCTCAAAGTTTCCACTTGTGCTTTGAAAGAAAGCCTTATTTCTTGTAGTAACAGCAGATATTGCCGAAAACTAAACCCAGACTCTTATTGTAAGAGTGGCTGAATTATATACATAATTCATTGCTTAATTGCCAACCTCTAGCAGTGTCTGAAGATAAAGTAAGGGCATTGATTGGGAAGAAATAGGATCCTGAAACTTGGGATGGGGACATATGGGCGGATAATCAGGAATCTGAAGACACTGAGCCCCTAAATTCCATTGAATCACTCCTGCCAGCAGAACCACTCCCATCTGAAGAGATTACTGCCACCATCAATGACTTGAAGGATGCAGGGGTGGTGATTCCCACCACATCCCCAATCAACTCACCTATTTGCCCTGTACAAAAAACAGATGGATCTTGGAGAATGACAGTAGATTATCAAAAACTTAACCAGGTGGTGACTCCAATTGCAGCTGCTGTTCCAGATGTAGTTTTATTGCTTGAGCAAGTTAATACATCTCCTGGTACCTGGTATGCAGCTATTGATCTGGCTAATGCCTTTTTCTCCATGCCTGTTTTGAAGGACAATCAGAAGCAGTTTGCCTTCAACTGGCAAGGCTAGCAATACACCTTCACTTGCCTACCTCAGGGCTACATCAACTCTCCAGCCCTATGTCATAATTTAGTTTGCAGGGACTTGATCACCTTTCCCTTCCACAAGACATCACACTGGTCCATTACATTGATAACATTATGCTGATTGGACCTAGTAAGGAAGAAGCATCAATGACTCTGGACTTACTGGTAAAACATTTGTGTGCTAGAGGGTGGGAAATTAATCCCACACAAATTCAGGCACCTTTATTTCTAGGGGTCCAGTGGTGTGGGGCATGTCAAGATATTCCTTCTAAAGTGAAGGATAAGTTATTGCATCTGGCCCCTCCCACAACTGAAAAGGAGGGACAACACCTAGTGGGCCTTTTTGGATTTTAGAGGCAATATATTCCACATTTGGATGTGCTACTCCAGCCTATTTATCAAGTGACTCGAAAAGCTGTTAGTTTTGAGTGGGGCCCAGAACAAGAGAAGGCTCTGCAACAGATCCAGGCTGCTGTGCAAGTGGCTGTGCCACTTGGGCCATATGATCCAGCTGATCTAATGGTGCTTGAAGTGTCAGTGGCAGATAGAGATGCTGTTTGGGGTCTTTGGCAGGCCCCTATTGGTTAATCACAGTGCAGATTTTGGAGCAAAGCCCTGCCGTCCTCTGCAGATAACTACTCTCCTTTTGAGAAACAACTTTTGACTTGTTACTGGGCCTTAGTAGAGACTGACGCTTAACCATGGGACATACCATGCAGTCTGAGCTGCCCATCATGAACTGGGTGTTGTCTGACCCACAGAGTTGTAAAGTTGGACGTGCATAGCAGCACTTCATTAAATGGAAGTGGTATATACAAGATTGGGCCCAAGCAGGACCTGAAGGCACAAGTAAGTTGCATGAAGAAGTGGCCCAAATGCCCATGGCCTCCATTCCTGTCACATTACCTTCCATAGTCTGCACCTATGGCTTTATGATGAGTTCCTTATGATCAGTTGACTGAAGAAGAGAAAACTCGTGCCTGGTTTACAGATGGTTCTGCACAATATGAAGGCCCCACTCAAAAGTGGACAGCAGCAGCATTACATACCCTTTCTGGGACCTCCCTGAAGGACAGTGGTGAAGGGAAGATCCTCTCAATGGGCAGAACTTCGAGCAGTGCACCTGGTTGTTCACTTTGCTTGGAAGGAGAAATGGCCAGATTTGTGATTATATTACTGATTCATGGGCTGTGGCCAACGGTTTGGCTGGATGGTCAGGGACTTAGAAGGAACATGATTGGAAAATTGGAGACAAGGATTTATGGGGAAGAGGTATGTGGATAGACCTCTCTGAACAGGCCAAAGAAGTGAAGATATTTGTGTCTTATGTGAATGCTCACCAAAGGGTGACCTCAACAGAGGGTGATTTTAACATTCAAATGGATAGGATAACGTGTTCTGTGGAAACCACTCATCCTCTTTCTCCAGCTACTCTTGTCATTGCTCAATGGGCTCATGAACAAAGTGGCCATGGTGGCAGAGATGGAGGTTATGCATGGGCTCAGCAACATAGACTTCCACTCACCAAGGCTGACTTGGCTACAGCCACTGCTGAGTGCCCAATCTACCAGCAGCAGAGACCAACACTGAGTCCCCGACATAGCATCATCCCTCGAGGTGATCAGCCAGCAACCTGGTGGCAAGTTGATTACATTGGACCACTTCCATCATGGAAAGGGCTGCATTTTGTCCTTATTGGAATAGACGCTTACTCTGGATGTGGATTTGCCTTCGCTGCACACAATGCTTCTGTAAAACTACCATCCATGGACTTACAGAATGTCTTATCCACTGTCATGGTATCCCACACAGCATTGCCTCAGATCAAGGGACTCACTTCACAGCAAATGCAGTGCAGTAGTGTGCCCGTGCTCGTGGAATTCACTGGTCTTATCATGTTCCCCGTCATCTTGAAGCAGCTGGCTTGATAGAAAGATGGAATGGCCTTCTAAAGACACAATTACAGCATCAGCTAGGTGACAATACCTTGCAGGGTTGGGGCAATGTTCTCCAGGAGGCTGTATATGCTCTAAACCAGAGTCCAATATATGGTGCTGTTTCTCCCATAGCCAGGAATCATGGGTCCAGGAATCAAGGGGTGGAAATGGGAGTGGCACCACTCACTATTACCCCTAGTGCCCCACTCGTAAGATTTTTGCCTCCTGTCCCTGCAACCTTATGCTCTGCAGGTTTAGAGGTCTTAGTTCCAAAGGAAGGAATGCTCCCACCTGGAGACACATCACTGATTCCATTGAACTGGAAGCTAAGAATGCCACCTGGCCACTTTGGGCTCCTTATGCTTCTGGGTCAACAGGCAAAGAAGGGAGTTACCATACTGGCTGGTGTGATTGATCCTGATTACCAACAGGAAATAGGATTGATATTACATAATGGAGGTAAAGAATAGTATGTCTGGAATGCAGGAGATCCCTTAGGGCATCTCTTAGTATTACCATGCCCTGTGATTAAAGTCAATATAAAACTACAGCAACCTAATTCTGACATGACTACTAATGGCCCAGACCCTTCAGGAATGAAAGTTTGGGTCACCCCACCAGGCAAAGAACCATGATCAGCTGAGGTGCTTGCTGAGGGCAAAGAGAATACAGAATGGGTGATGGGAGAAGGTAGTTCTAAATACTAGTTATGTCCACGTGACCAGTTGCAGAAATGAGGACTTTAATTGTTATGAGTATTTCTGCTTTGTATGTGTGCATTAAATATTTTTGTTTTCTTCACTTCTAAAATATGAGATGTAAATGGGCCTAGTGTGTTTTTGGTTGTATGTGTGTTAGTTGTACCATGTTAGGTGCAAGTATGACTTTAGAATTGTCTTTTTTCAAAGATTAAGTATGGTTTAAGGAGATGTGTACATGTGCCAAGTTGACAAGGGGTGAATTGTGATGGTTAAGATTGTGTGTCAGCTTGGCTTGGCCATGATTCTCAGTGTTCCTATGTGATCACTCCCATGATGGGATCTGCTGTGAGTAGCCAGTCAGTTGAAAGGGATTTTCCTTGGGGTTGTGGCCTGCGTCCAAATATAAGCAGACATTCTGGCTTTTTGCTCAGTCTGTATCCTCCGGCTGCCTCCTGTACGTCTCACCTCTGGTTCTTGGGACTTGAGCTATCAGCTTATCTGCTGATCTTGGGATCAACAATCTTCACAGCCTGTGAGAAGAGCCCTGCTCTCCAACCTGCCAATCTTGGGTTCACCAGCCCCTGCAGTTACGTGAATCAGGAGAAGCCTTACAGTCTTGCTTGCCAATCTTGGTATTCTTCGATATTCACAACCTGTGAGCAAGAGCCCTACTTCCCAACCTGCCGATCTTGGGTTTGCCAGCCCCTGTGGCTACGTGAATCAGGAGACGCCTCTATCCTAATCCACGGACTTGGGACGTTTCAGCCTCTAAAATCACATGAGCCATTTCTTTGATATCTATCTATCTATCTATCCATCTATCTATCTATCTATCTCTCTCTCTCTATATATATATAT